CCAAGGTTCCAAGCCGCAGAGATCTACAAGCACAGATATCATGAGAAATGGAAATTGGCACCGCGAGGCTAGTGTCCAAGTTAAATTGTTTCGCAATGTACAAATACAAAGTTGCCATAAGTTATAAAATGCAAACACTGATTTTCAGTATCCAAGTAGTTTCTCCAGATTCCCGGTGATTAATTCTGACTGGACATTCGTCACCACTCGCCCCTTTCCGTAACCTGCAAGAAGACTCGTCCCCCTTTCGATGAATGTTATGTGCGAAAATACGACAAACCAATCAGAATGCGCGAATGATTTCAAAGGAACCCTCAGAAATAATATTTGATTTTACATATGTCTTGCATCTAAAAATATACCCAAGACACAGTTAAATGTGTTCAATTATACTGTATGATTCCTCATATCCAGATGTGCTTTAGATTGCATCTGAAATATATAAAATATATGGGGAAATTTATGTGAACCATTACGCAAATAATTGAAATTTAGGTATGCCCGTTTGCGCTAAGACGGTACCCGGTCGCAAAAATGGCCATGAGAGGGGCACGAGTCGCTATTCGGCTTGTCCCGGAATACCACGAGTTGGTCACGAATGGATAGCCGGATGACAAGGGCGACGCCATGTTAGTTTGTAAACATTGAAAGTAGTCCCTACTTGACCATTGATATTTGCATCTCTATCTATATGACCCCAACGGATATCGTTTTTATCCGTTGGCTTTATCCTGTCGAGAAACCTACCCATCATATAATAATGCAGTATTCAGGATACCTGTGCCATTTTGCTGAGAGTTGTGCCGAGCCTTGGTAATGGTTTCTGAGTTGTTCAGCCGCCATTGGAATCTGTGCTTTAACCCTTAGAGTGAGTGAGTGAGTTTGGTTTAACGCCGCTTTTAACATTATTTCAGTTATATCGCGGCGTGTCAGCTTAATGTGGGAGGAAAGCCCGAAGTGATGCAGGTCTCAGACGTTTTACCACTTCGGTGAAACCCACGAGCACGGGTATGGTGCTGACAAACCTAGAAACATAATCGGGGCGAACCGGGATTCGAACCCACAATCATAGGTTTCTGGCGTGTCCAGGGGACGCAACTCTGCACAGCGAATCGCGGCGCCTTAGACGACTGGGCCACCCGTGCCCCCTAGCCCTTAGAGCTTGCCCCTGTGTGGTATGGAAATATGCGCAATATAAAAGGCCTATCTATATCATTATTTTGAAAAAAGCAAAAAAAGCAATAATCAATGTCGTTTGGTATGTTTTAGAAAAAGGAAACGGACGCTGAACGGAGCTTTCCGCCATGCTTGATAGCGTTTTTTTCCAAAGCAGTCCTGTGTGTACTATTCAGAATATTCAATATTCTACATATGTACATGTGTAGAATGTTGAATAGTATGTATAGTACACACAGGACACACAGTAGAATAGGTCTTCAGCAACCCATGCTGACGTAAACAGCGACTATGCTTGTCGTAAGAGGCGGCAGACGGGATCGGATGGTCAGGTTCGCTGACTTGATTGATGCATGTCATCGTATCCCAATTTCGTGGATCGATGCTCATGATGTGAATCACTGGATTGTTTGGTCCAGACGGGAGTGTTTACAAACCGCCGTCATATACCTTGAATATTGGTGAGTGCGGCTTTAAATAACAAACAAACAAACAAACATATCTACATAACTGCACAGTCGATCCAGTGCTGCGTGACTCAGAAACTGCACTCGGCTGGTATAGGGGATTGAGGTGCAAAAATTAATAAATGCATATTATAGTAATATCCTGACTGATATGTTTCCAGTTGACATTACGTATTAATATTCCATACACATTTCTCCCTATATGACTAGTACTGTTTGGGATAACACATTCAAGTCATGGCAATAATTATTTAAAAACATAATTTCGCTCACGTACCGTATATCCAGAGGTTTAATTACGTATTCATGCTTTCACACTGTTACCATGGCAATAAGGTGAGGTTAATTGATGTAAGTATATAAATAAATTATTTCAGCGGATTTGGATATTTTAGGAAACTAAACAAATGTAGAGTTTAAAAGAAGCCAGGTATTCTGACAAATAAAGGTTTATAATGGAAAGAGAGACAAGACTGGCCTCAAACCTTATCAAACGTTATGAGAATGTATTATTGAACACTTATGTTGTTTCACGCCGCAGTCAACCATATTACAATAATCTCACGGTCATACTGTATTAAGTCACATGAAGGGCACGGGACCCGTGAAGATTCCGGGGTGGAATAGATCTTCAGCAACCCATGCTTGTCGTAAAAGGCGACTAACGGGATCGGGTGGTCAGGCTCGCTGACTTGGTTGATGCATGTCATCGTATCCCAATTGCGTGGATAGATGCTCATGATATCAATCACGGGATTGTCTGGTCCAGACTCGATTATTTACAGACCGCCGTCATATAGCTGGAATATTGCTGAGTGCGGCGTTAAACAACAAACAAACCAACCAAACAAGGGCACGGGAGCTCATTCGTCCAAAGCGTCACAATTAGTTTTGCTGAATCACATCTTTTAGGCATGACAGAATCCCGTCATCGTGTGTTAGAATTCCAGACGGGCTCTGATAATGTTTCTAGGTTTGTCAGCACCATACCAGTTCTTATGGGTTTCACCGAAGTGGTAAACGTCTATGACTTGCATCACTTCGGGCTTTCATCCCACTTCAAGCTGACACGCCGTGATTAAACTGGAATACTGTTCACAGCGGCGTTTAACCAAGCTCACTTATATGCTCACATCGAAGCAATACATTTTTATCCGAAATGTATTCTGAATTGTTTAATTCTAAAAGCAGCATTTAAAATGCATCAGGACTTGTTTATACATTGTACCATGCAGATAGGGAGCTAATTCGAGCTACGAATGGTGAAATGAGAATGTTTACACTGTGAAACGAAATTTAGAATATTCACACTGTGAAGAGTATGCCAAATCGTTAACACGTGCAAAATTAATGGCTCTATATACATTCTGGCACCATATTATTATTATTATTATTATTATTATTATTATTATTATTATTATTATTATGATGTCGCGTGAGTCCCACGCATTTATCACCTATGTCACGCTCACACGCAAGGTTGGGAAATTCTCACGCATCCATATAAAATGTCGAAACATTGCAGAATACATGCTCTCTAAGGCCATTATAATGGTCTTAAAATCATTCAAAACAGTTTTCGCCGGGGGGCCTGCCCCCTCTGCGGTCACCCCCAACCCCCACCCACCCTGGACCCAGCGGGGCTTGCAGCCCCTGCATCCTGGCTTCTCACTCATTTAGACATCCAGGGGGTGACAGCTATGTTTGATGTTTGTCTGGAGATGTGTTGTGAACTGTCATGAGCTGCTGTGAGACACGTGTCATTAGCTGTTAGTTCATTCATTTGGAACACATAAGAGTCAACATAAGACACATGCAACTGTGACACAAGCAAAGACACACGTATACGACTTTGTAAACAAGAGCAGGGGTCACTGCATGGCTGGGTTAAGAATCGTGTCATAGGACATGCATCTGCTTCCCGCTCGGATATCTTTGTCTCGGTACATTCGTCACCACTCGCCCCTTTCCGTAACCTGCAAGAAGACTCGTCCCCCTTTCGATGAATGTTATGTGCGAAAATGCGACAAACCAATCAGAATGCGCGTATGATTTCAAGTTCTTCGTCAAAGAATCCCTCTGAAATATTTTTTGATTTTATATATGGCTTGCATCTAAAAATATACCCAAGGTACAGTTAAATGTGTTCAATCATACTGTATAATTCCGCATGTCCCGATGTACTTTAAATTGCATCTGAAATATATATTATATATGGGGAAAGATATGTGAACCATAACGCAACGAGTTGACAAATGAATTGTTTTAGGTATGCCCGTTTGAGCTAAGACGGAACCCGGTCGCAAAAATGGCCATGTGAGGGGCACGAGTCGCTATTCGGCTTGTCCCGGAATAACACGAGTTGGTCACGAATGTGTCTCGGTAATATCTCTATCCAAGTCTAGAGGTTGGGGAGGCTTTTATTTTGATACAGGAAGTGTTATATCTTCATGATATCAACACATTCGTATTAAGATGTATTTGGGCTTTTAATTCGGTCCTTTTCACATCACGTCTAAGTACTCACGGGGCACGGGTGGCCCATCGCTGAGGCGCCGCGATTCGCTGTGCAGAGTTGCGTCCCTTGGGCACGCCAGGAACCTATGATTGTGGGTTCGAATCCCGGTTCGCCCCGATTATGTTTCTAGGTTTGTCAGCACCATACCCGTGCTCGTGGGTTTCACCGAAGTGGTAAACGTCTGAGTCCTGCATCACTTCAGGATTTCCTCCCACATTAAGCTGACACGCCGCGATATAACAGGAATACTGTTAAAAGCGGCGTTAAACCCAACTCACTCACTCAGTACTCACTGTTCAGCAATATCATTTTATACAATATAGTTAGACAGTGTCTATATTAGCTTCAACCACGGCTGTACAAATGTAGGTACAGAATAGATTATATAGATATATCAACTTAGTAAACACAGCATGCAATAACCAGCATAGCAAGATGTGCCGACAGCCGGGTTTATGTCCACTGCATGTAACACCGATATATTAATAGAACACGTTCAATGTGTTACCCTATATCAACGGCCTCGACCAAGCATGCGAGGCAAAGAACACGATACGACATGAATACACACCTCTATTATTCCCGTGTCAAGTTCAATTTCGCTCAGCGTCAAAATGATTGACTGCTACATATGTGAGTTAAAACAGAAACCATATGGTTTTAATGGTCTCTGGTTAAAATTCCCTTTTTCTCCAAACGTTAGTGTTATGAATCCGGGGATTGAACTATCTTTGCTTTTCAAATCCTGTTGAAAAAATGAACACTTGCCCGGTCATGCGTTCAATGACAGTCAGCCTTGGCGCAAACAAAAAAGCACGACGATTTAACCGAGTTTAAGAAGTCGTTCAGCGGTTCCTCGCGGTCCGATCAATACCTCCCGTTAATCCAAGACCCTAGGTCAAGGCGACCTTATGCTGCCAAAATGGCGGCACGAGAGCGCGGAGTCTGCACACGACTGGCGATTTTGAGTGAGAGAGAGGTCAGGAGTGGGTACTGGTTAAAGTGATCAGTTGGATCTGATGCACAGCCATTGTGGGAGGGACAGTGTGTATGAATACACATATTCTACAGCGCAACATGGGTGAGTCGATACTATTTTCCCCATTCACTACCACAGGGCTTAACCGTGCATGGCCGAGTGTGTTTTAGCTATAGCTGTAGGAAAGGGGCTTCTGCCCTAGTGCTACTGACTGTTTGTGTTGCCTCCGCGCCAAACGTACCTTTACCGCGTTTTCGACCTACTTTATATCATCTATTTTATCATATTTCATAACACGTGGTTATCAGTCGAATATTTTACAGGTTCATAAGTTTGTTAGAACGGTGGAAAGATGTTGGTGAGAGGCGTGGGAGGGTTATGAACTGACTGCGTCGGCGATATAGCGAGTCTTGATTCAGCTGTGAAGGTCTGTCGTAAATAGAAAATTTCGCATTTAAATTCAACTAACTTACCGCCTATGACACGCTTTACGCTGTGTCTAGAATAAACCATGTTTGAAATTTGTTTTTGATTCTTTATTTATCCACCCGCGAATATTCTTCTCTTGTTTTCCTTTTTCTTATATTCGCCACATATAATATACGCATGAATATGTTGATTTGATTATGAACCATGAATCAAAATAGTGTTGTTTAATAATGTTTCCCCATTTTACACGAATAGCTGTCACCTACAGTCAGTTGACTGATGATGATGCCATTTTATGCATAACAAATGCATCAGAGCTCCGGGATCTCGTCATCCCACTTTTTCACCAGCTTTTTTTAAGGAGAAGCTCATATTAATTAAACGTCCTGAAAAGATAGTTGTAACTGTTGTATATATGCGTATTAACATTTAAGTCACATAGACCCAGTATGATTTTAATATTGTGTGTCTATAAACATTCACGTGTATGAACTTTGGACGGTTATGGGTGTCGACAATGAACAGTACAAAACACGAGTGAATCGAGCGACAATTAGACCAGACGGGATTGTGGACAATATGTTTTGGTATCAAATGCACAATAGCGGGAGTATACGATCCTAGACGAAATAAAGGAGTCCGTATGGCTACGGATATATATGTAGTATAGTTCAACTTGCGTGGCGTAGAAACCGTAACATGTAGGGCTGTCGTATTCACCTTATTCGTGTCAGGGCTTAGGCCAGTCAAACTGCATGTGTTCAAAACGTGTGATACTTTTTAGTTTTTTGTATATAAACACTGATGATATACTGACCTTAAAATACTGTACTTATAGGCGTATCCCAAAAGGAAGCCCCCACCCCCCCACCCCCCACCCCCAACGCGATAGGTTGTTGTATTGCTATCAGTGTCAACATTAAGGAAAGTGTGTATACATATCAACAAGGGATGTAAAATATTCCAAATTACATTCACTTTGTGGGAGTGTGTTGGCGTATTAGTGAGTGAGTTAAAATTTAACGTCGCACCGGCATTATTGCAGCCACATAGCGACTATTGGCGTATGAACCTTGATTTGAAATATAAATATTACAGCAAAAGCGCTGAAGCCTTATAAGGCATTTAACTTTGATTTTAATGGGGACACTCTTACTTATGTAGTGGTAGATATTTTACGTTTCATAAAATTTCAAGAAAACCACTGACATAAGTTGTGTGAGTATATCCAGTAGTATACCATGAAGGGAGGCCCGTGAAGATCCGCGGTAGAATAGGTCTTCAGCAACCCATGCTTGCCATAAAAGGCGACTATGCTTGTCGTAAGAGGCGACTAACGGGATCGGGTGGTCAGTCTCGCTGACTTGGTTGATGCATGTCATCGATCCCAATTGGGTGGATCGATGCTCTTGATGTCAATCACTGGATTTGTCTGATCCAGACATGGCTATTCACAGACCGCCTTCTAAAGGCTGGAATTTCGCTGGGTGCGGCGTTAAAGAACCAACAAACAAACAAACCAAATACAAATTGTAGGATGAACACAAATGACGACTGCCCGACACCGACGAACTAGTTTTATGCTATGGACGCATGTTTTGTTAAAGAGGCAAGCCTATGCGGGGAATATAAACACGATGTTGCAGGATAGTTAACTTTTCGCCACACGACACCGCAAGAAGCGACTGACTGGATCGGGGTGTCAGGCTCGCTGAGTTAGTTGATGCATGTCATCGTTTCCCAATTGCGTTGATCGATGTTCCTGATGGCAATCACTGGATTGTATGGTACAGACTCGATTATATGCAGACCGTCGTCATATAGCTGGACTTTTGCTGAGTGCGGCGTTAGATAACAAACAAACAAACAAACAAACAAACGTACCTGACCCACATTACGAATCATGATGCAATTGTGATTAATATAACCGGGAAAATTTCTGAAACTTTGGACTGTGTCGACAATGCCAAAGCGGCAGATGTTGGAAATGTGAAGTCAGCTAAAAGTGGGGAAAGCACTGGTTTAACGCTAAATATCAACCACCAGCGCGTCCTGTACGCTGTTGACTTGGCGGGACTTCTACTATACAGTGAACTACGGCTATAACGAACTGAAAGGGACTACTAATTTTAGTTCGTTATAACCGTAATTCGTTATAAGCATATATACAGCATAACTACAGCAAATAGTCGGGACTAAAAAGTTAGTTCGTTATATCCGTCAGTTCGTTATAAGCGTGTTCGTTATAACCGTAGTTTACTGTACTATAAAATAGAAATACAATGATGCTACGAGCACGTCTTTCCAAAAGGTTTTGTTTCCAGTGAAATATGGGCCCAGTCGTCTAAAGCGCCGCAATTCCCTATACAGAGTTGTGTCCCTTGTCCGTGCCAGAAACCTATGATCACACAGATTCACCCCGATTACGTTTCAGTATTTTTCAGCACGATACCCGTGCCCATGAATTTCGCCAAAGTGGAATAATTTTCAAAGATCTGCATCACTTCGGACTTTTCTCCCACATCAGGCTGACACGCCGTGGTTTTACTGATAAATAATGTTAGGGGGCATTTAGAGCAGACTCACTTCAATAAAGTTGGTCATCCAAAAACATACTATTATGTGAAGAGACACGTCAGTATTCACTCAATTAACAATGTTTGTAATTTGTAATGATAAGATAATAATTAGAAACGTGAAGATCCGGGGTAGAATAGCTCTTCAGCAACCCATGCTTGCCGTAAAAGACGACTATGTTTGTTGTAAGGGGCGACTAACGGGATCGGGTGGTCAGGCTTGGTGACTTGCTTAATGCATGTCATCGATCCAAATTACGCGGATTGGTGCTCATGATGTCAATCACTGGATTGTCTGGTCCATTCTCGATTATTTTCAGACCGCCGTCATATAGCTGGAATATCGCTGGGTGCGGCGTTAAGCAGACAAACAAACACACAAGATAATATATAGAGGTGCACATCGTGTGTTTTCTTAGGGAATGGTAATTCCCTTATGACTTATTTGGTCACGTGCTTCTTTATGTCTTCCATCCTATATTTATCATTCGATGGTTGACCTTAAATGAAATGTGTCATGGCTCCAAAGAAATGTCAAATGGTGGCCCCCTTACTTATGACCTGTTGTAGGGACCCCGTCTATCTGTAGACCACTAAACACTCCATGATTATTTAGCAGCCAACATAAGTCGCATTATGACTGAAAGGACGCGAGGCCGCAACAACGCTGTGCCATCATAATGATCATTATGTACAATCTGTCTCGCGTTTACATGGGCGAGTTGATTCAGTGTGACATTTATCAAGTTTCGTCAGTGCTTGCAACTAACTTTGAGTGGCGTGACCCAGTTAGAAGCAGAACGGGGGTGGGTAATTCCTGTCATTACCCCTACTTAAATAGACGTGGTGGGGGCGATTCTGGGGCACACACACCCCAACTCGGAATACTACACACTAGGAAAATTGCTTCCCAGGAGGAAGTTGTCCTGATACCAGCGGAGACACCTCGTCACATGGTTGTTTCTGCTTGCTTAGTGTACACTTCCGAAAACGTAGTTATTTCTACTCTGCTCTCGCAATAATACACAGCTACCAATCGGTCATGCTGATTATCACCGACCGCCGTTCAAGTGTCCATTGAATATCATGAATGTGTCATACCAAAATTCGAAGTGCACCGACACATTTCGATTGAAGGTTATTTTCCTAAGGTCTAGTCCATTCTATCCTGTATCGGCTAGTGTTGTTTTAGGAATCAGTAACAGCGATGCAGCTCGACTTTTCTTATCTTCCCGTTCATCACACTTAACACAAACTCAATCGAAATACTTTGGCGTACTTAAAGGTAAATAACTTGGGAACTGTAAACATTGTATTGTCTCTCTGTTTTAATTGTCAAATTAGACTTAATTAAAGCAAAAACAAATAATGATTGCCCCATGAACTGTTATTTTTCAACGCTCCATGTTTGATTAAGTGTTTGTTATATGCATATTGACTTGTAACGCAAACAAAATAGCACCTACACGATATATGGTCACACTAAGTTCTAGTACAGTAAACTACGGTTATAACGAACACGCTTATAACGAACTGACGGATATAACGAACTAACTTTTTAGTCCCGACTATTTGCTGTAGTTATGCTGTATATATGCTTATAACGAATTACGGTTATAACGAACTAAAATTAGTAGTCCCTTTGAGTTCGTTATAGCCGTAGTTCACTGTACTATGTAAAAGGAAAGGGATGTAACGAGGCCAACTCACCAAGTTCCTTCGAGGACGAATTCAACAATGTCCACTGTTAATACCCCTATAAAACTTACACTAGCCAATACAGAGGTCACGGGTGGCCCAGTCGTCTAAGGCGCCGCGATTCGCTGTACAGGGTTGCGTCCCTTGGGCACGCCAGGAACCTATGATTGTGGGTTCGAATCCCTATTCGCCCCGATTATGTTTCTAGGTTTGTCAGCACCATACCCGTGCTCGTGGGTTTCACCGAAGTGGTAAACGTCTAAGACCTGCATCACTTCGGGCTTTCCTCCCACATTAAGCTGACACGTCGCGATATAACTGGAATACTGTTAAAAGCGGCGTTAAACCCAACTCACTCACTCACTCACTCATATATGACATCAACTTCAGTGTGCAAATATACCTTCTATTGCTGGTTTATACGTGTATACAGCAATCACAAGTTATTGGAAACAAATACAAAAAATTAACAATGCCTTTTCGGCCCATGCGTATCGCTGAATATAACATGAAAATCAATAAAGTAGCTTTGTCCCAATGGATTTGGTACCAAGGTACAGAGAGTTAAATGGGCATAAAACACCACACTAAGTCCTGAGTAAAACATTAAACTAACCTAAAAACATGTCTGTCGCCCCATACTAAAACGTTGTGTGTGTATTGTATAATTGAACATTCTGTACCTGCGTTTTCAAAATAATAACGACAAAAGCATAAACATACGAAATCTCTGCTAAAAGCAGAGTCCGTTATACGATGCGACAATATTCTATACATATTGTTTATTGATGATACCAGGTGTTGTCAATAGATGTTAATTCAGGCGTGTATTTTAATAAGTGCTAGGTCTATATATATTTCTGTACGCAGACGCCAGATCAGCTGTTCAATGCCAATTGTTCTTCCAGAAGAATGATCTGGTAGTGTTCAGATGATTGCTCATTGTGCAGGCGTTGAGAGTAACTGCATTATCTAATGTGAGTCATGTTGCATAACACGTGTTCAGTGGAATAAGGGTCGGCCGTGTAGCTCAGTGGTTAAAGCGTTCGCTCATCATGCCGAAGACCTGGGTTCGATTCCCCACATGGATAAGTGTATGAAACCCATTTGTGGTGTCCCGCGCCGTGACATTGCCGGAAAATTGCTAAACATGGCGTGAAACCAATGGAACAGTATGCTAGAGTGGAGTCAACAAAATGCCAACCAGGTTATATCAAGAAGTATGGTTATATTCTTCGGTATCATCAGAACAATCATAACTCATCCCGATATGTTTATGATTGTTTTAGTAAACGTGTTCCTTTTGGAAGCTATGCTGAGCTGAAATGAGGCGTGATTAATTTCCCCGTTGTTGATGTTGTGGCCCACCTTCTACTACGAAAACGTTGGACCAATCACGTTGCGAACGTTGAAGTCTGTGGTCTCCGACGTCGCTTATACATTACTCCATGGTATTTCATCGCCAACGTGGACGTCTGTGGTCTCCGACGTCGCTTATACATTACTCCGTGGTATTTCATCGCCAACGTGGACGTCTGTGGTCTCCGACGTCGCTCATACATTACTCCGTGGTATTTCATCGCCAACGTGGACGTCTGTGGTCTCCGACGTCGCTCATACATTACTCCGTGGTATTTCATCGCCAACGTGGACGTCTGTGGTCTCCGACGTCGCTCATACATTACTCCGTGGTATTTCATCGCCAACGTGGACGTCTGTGGTCTCCGACGTCGCTCATACATTACTCCGTGGTATTTCATCGCCAACGTGGAAGTCTGTGGTCTCCGACGTCGCTCATACATTACTCCGTGGTATTTCATCGCCAACGTGGACGTCTGTGGTCTCCGACGTCGCTCATACATTACTCCGTGGTATTTCATCGCCAACGTGGACGTCTGTGGTCTCCGACGTCGCTCATACATTACTCCGTGGTATTTCATCGCCAACGTGGAAGTCTGTGGTCTCCGACGTCGCTCATACATTACTCCGTGGTATTTCATCGCCAACGTGGACGTCTGTGGTCTCCGACGTCGCTTATACATTACTCCGTGGTATTTCATTGCCAAGTTATAATCTATGTTCTCCGACACCGCGTATAACTTACTCGAGGGGGTTTCTGTTTAAACACAGTTTTGTGTTTTTAAACTATCCATCAGTAAATACATAGAGACATTTATTCTTTATTGTTATTGCCGTTACAGTGGACATATACTCACTCCCGAATAGTGATTAATAAACGTCCTACCTCCAATCAATATGTGCAATCTGTTACCTGGAATATATATATTTGTTATAGCCGGGCTGCTGCTCTGTTGGGGAAACAGGCTGTGTCATCGATAGATATGTGCACAGCGATAAACAACACTTGAATGACCCGAATCTGTTATCTTCCCGCAAACACATTGTCGAACATGGTTTCAGGCACATGGTATATTTCTTTCTGAACTACAAGATAACAATAAAGAAGAATATGTCATATTTGCAGCCAAACCAGTGCCTGCTTTACAAGCTTAAAAACACTTCTTTGAAAACCACATGATGACTGTTTGTGGTAAGTAATGATTGAACCATTATTACATGTTTCTATGACGCTAACTTGCGTTTCAATTGTTTGATGCTGTGAAAATCGGGAAATGCGTATGTAAATTAAACGTGTCAATATGTCAGTACAAGCTGAACTATATTTCTCAAATGTATTTTCATTTATATTATCTTACCCGACTTAAGTCAATTGAGCTATTGTCACGGCTGCTTGTCGAGCGACATGTGTTGGTGTCATCTGTGTCATCCGCAGTAACCGGAGAAGATATGCAGGAATACGTGTCAATGAATGCTGTCAACACATCTGCTATCCCAGTACTGAGATACCATGCCTCAGTTTTAATGGATACCCCACCCAGACACAGCGTATTGACTCCGAGCCGACCTCTCCTCGTTTGTTTATCCCCTAAATGCAGAGCGTCAGGCAGGGTAACAACAGGTACCATTTTTTTTACGTCTTCGTTATGGCGCGGCCTTGGATCGAACGTGCTCTGTCCATTAGCCCACTGAGGCGGACGTATTGAAATGACAAATATCAAAGATTGATTGAGACTCGATATGCCTTCATTCGTTGAACAGAGTGAGACAATTATATTCCGTTTGACAGTCAGCTGTGTGGGAGTATACGATGGAAGAGTGAGTGAGTGAGTATGGTTTTACGCCGCTTTTAGCAATATTCCAGCAACATCACGGCGGGGGACACCAGAAATGAGCTTCACACATTGTACCCATGTCGGGAATCGAACCCGGGTCTTCGGCGTGACGAGCGAACGCTTTAACCACTAGGCTACCCGACCGCCCCCGATGGAAGAGTGTATATGAACGAATGTCGATTATACTAAATGAGACGTCGGGAGAGGTAGGGAAGAGTGAGGACTGGCGATAACCACTCACGATTAGCGTCATGAATAGTCCTACATGGACCAACTTGTGGAGATTCTAGCATAGGTTTGGCTCCCAGTTCCATCCTCTCCTTCATAAACTAGACGGAAATACGGCTCGATAACAACTTATTCTATGTTGAGAGGAGTCCTGTATCTGGACGAGTGTACATCAGCCATCTTCGATTCCCCGATCGCCATCGAGGAAGTAATGGCGATTCTGGCAAGTGTGGGTTCGAATCCCGGACGGGACTGAACCCCCCAAAAGTACGAGAATCTGTAGTGTTATCCCAAATATAACATTTGTTACATGTAATTATTTTGTCGGACACTATTTATGGTCTACAAAAACGAAATAACGTGTTGGATGAGTATTGTAAGGAATATAATTTAGTAAACTTGGACAAATCTAAAACGATTGCCTTCAGACTTGGATGCACGGCTTCTAACCACGTAAAATGGTATTTTCAGGGTGCCATATTAAGCATTTATCCTTATATTAATACCTAGGAATAATATGATCACTAATGTCATCTCGGAAAAACACTTTGACAGTTCTTTTCTATAATTCAAAAAGATTATGTTTGGTATCTTAAAATCCCTTTCCAACGTTGAAACCTCTCCAATATGATGTATGCCTGTTCTTCTATATAGTGCTGAAATGTGGGGATCAAATTGTAATAGTAACTCTGGAATCGAAAAAGTGCAGATGCTAGCGGGTAAATATTTCCTTGGTGTAAAATTATCCACACCCAACCACATTGTCCGTGGTGGATGTGGAAGGTATCCCATAAATGTATCTGCATATAAACGTATTACAACAATACTGGTATAAGCTCTTGTAAAAGTCAACTTGTTTTCCCAAAAAATATTACAACTTACTGTTATTGGATGTTTGCCATGGAAAAAATCATTGGGTTTCAAAGTTGAAATTGTTATATAAAATTGCATTTGGTTTTGCCTGGGAAGACCAGTCTATTGGCAGTATACATTCCTTTGTCTCGGAGTTTATGGCACGACCACTATATGAATGAACAGGATTGGCATGTCTCCCTATCTGTAGGCTCTAAAACGTTTTCGTACTCTTTATTCAAACATATATTTGGTGTTGAACCATACATTGGTTGTATCCCTATAAATAAATTTCGTATGGCTTTGGCAAAGTTAAGATTATATTATATGCTAATAATATCAGAAAAGTTATGTAAATACTGGCTGTAGCAATGTTGCAACATGCTATTGGGCTGATGGCCTACACTTGAGGATGACAATGATGATGATGATGATGATGATGATGACAATGATGATGACAATGATGATGATGATGATGATGATGATGATGATGATGATTGTATGCCATCATTCCCGGACGTCATGGCTGTTCATAGTATAAACCATTAGTTTGTCTGGCCCAGACTGTTCCAATGTGTGCATGGGCAGTTGTGACATAAGTGGCACAAAAGAACATTCTCTTGTTCCATGGAGGATGTCCACAGGGACTCTGAACACTGAAAGGGACACTGAATTTCAGGATCTGGTTTTAGCTAATTGTGTGTCATCGTTCCCGAAGGCGTGGGGGGCGTCGTCCATGGTTACAAAACGCTGTTTTGTCCACCTTTTGCAGCGAATTTATGGGTTATTGGGACACAGGTTTCGCAAAACCAAAAATGAAATGACTCAAGTGACAGGGTTTTTTATTTCAAGAAGTCTTCAACTATTTTGTAAATGTCCTACCTTATTTTTCAGGCCAGTCTTCCAGGAAACTTCCTTCCACAGATGCCGGTGAAAATGGAAGTGCGAACCTCCTTCCAACGACCCCTACTTCCCCCACTACACCCACTACCCCCGGCCTATCGGACCACCTACAGCCAACAGAGGACCAACCACAGGTCTATCGGACCCGATGGCTGATGTTAGCGTTGTTTAGTATCTACAGCTTCAGTAGCGCCTTTCAATGGATCCACCTCAACATCATCGCCAACGTCATTCTCCGTTTCTACAACGAGAGCCTCCCAGAAGACGTCTTCCAGAGAGAAACCGCCATAGATTGGTTGTCGATGTTGTACATGCTGGCATACATTGTTCTCGTCATCCCGGCCACGTGGGTCTTGGACAAGAAAGGCCTACGTATATGTCACATTCTTGGGTCCCTACTGAACGCGATTGGGGCCTGGATTAAGTGTGCCAGTGTCAGTGGGGACAGGTTTGCTGTGCTTATGTTTGCACAGACGATGTGTGCTTGTGCCCAGATGTGGGTTATAGGAATCCCTGCACGACTGGCAGCTGTGTGGTTCGGGCCTAATGAAGTGTCCACAGCAACGTCTATAGGTGTATTTGGAAACCAGGTGAGCATGGGTAGTTCAGGGCAATGCATTAAATTGTAAAATGGCTATCACTGTAGATTGCGTGCTGAAATACAGGACGTATGTTTGTCACTGACATACTGAGGTATTTTGATGATCTGCATACTAGAACATGCTTGTTTACGAACATGCAATTTCAGCCAATGTCGTCTCAAAATAAGTACACATATATTGATGACGCGGTCAGTAGAACATTACATATCTTGCTATGTCCTATGTCTCTTCCATATGCATGTCAATACAGCTAGTGATGCTGTAAGCCACTGTCTTGACAATGGCTGTCCCTTGCCATCAATTTCTGGTGATCTTCTACAGAAAAAAAGACATTTCCCTTGTTGATCTGTGATTGTGTCCATAAAATTTTTAATACACACAAAAAACTTCCACAACTACATTTGTATGATTAGTGATAACACACTATGTCATTTCGCGGAGTAAGGAAACACGTTTTCAGTTTTACTGGAACTATTTTCAGTTGGCCTCAAAGAAACCATTGTTTCCAGACTGATCAGTGAGAAATACATAAAAGAACTGTACCACTCATGAAGCATCTTCCCGAGTCAAGGGAGTTAACTGACTATTAAAGTCCAGTTTCCACCCTTGCCGAACGATCGAGCTGGACTTTTAAAGTCGGTCAACTCTCTTGCCTCGGGAAGATGCTCATGAAGATATGTTAGTTATATGTAAGCTCGATGTGTATGTATTGTCAAAGAACTCGTATCACGGGTTCATTATCCTTATTCCAGCAAATTCTGGCCACATAGCACACACCCTCCACAACGTGCCGGTTGTAGGTTTCACACAACCCAACGTTTTTTTAAACGACTTGTAAAGTAACGTTAATATTGACGATTTTCGACACGATGAAATATTAATTCAGTTTTAAAAAAACAACTAAACATGTTCTATGTATTGCCTGTTGGAGTAACGTGTGTGTTCACAAATAATGCATAGTTTTAGACATAATAAAAAGGCTTTCATTCATCTCTCCCGACATCTGATGTCACAGTTCAACAGTAACGGTATAGAGTACAACTTTTCCATCAAAATAAGTTTGTATCATTCTGCTGTGTCATGTTGTGTAGGTGGGTGTGGCAGCAGGTTTCCTCTAAATACGTGTATAGCTACCCTTCTGTGTCATGTTGTGTAGATGGGCGTGGCAGCAGGTTTCCTCTAAATACGTGTATAGCTACCCTTCTGTGTCATGTTGTGTAGGTGGGCGTGGCAGCAGGATTCCTCTAAATACGTGTATAGCTACCCTTCTGTGTCATGTTGTGTAGATGGGCGTGGCAGCAGGATTCCTCTAAATACGTGTATACCTACCCCTCTGTGTCATGTTGTGTAGTTTGGCGTGGTAACAGGGTTCTTCTTAATACGTGTATACCTACTCTTCTGTGTCATGTTATGTAGTTTGGCGTGGCAGCAGGGTTCTTCTAGATACGTGTAGGTGGGCGTGGCAGCAGGTTTCCTCTAAATACGTGTATACCTACCCTTCTGTGTCATGTTGTGTAGATGTGCATGGCAGCAGGCTTCCCCTATAAAGGTGTGCTTCTACCCTTCTATATCATGTTGTGTAGGTGGGCGTGGCAACAGGATTCCCCTATATACGTGTGCTTCTACCCTTCTATATCATGTTGTGTTGCAGGTGGGTGTGGCAGCAGGATTCCTACTACCCCCAGAAATAGTCCCCAACTCCGACAATCTAGACGATGTAGCTAGAAATCTCAGTATAATGTTCTATGGGACCGCCGCCTTTACGACGCTTCTCTTCATCATTATAGTAATAGGTGTGTATTGTGTTGGACAAGTTACCGTGTGTGATAACAACCTCTGGCAGTACGGACGCTCAACTTCTTATTACAATTGTAACCACGTATCGGTATAGCTTCAGACTGCGTTATGCAGCAAGTGATATGGCAAGTCAGTAGGGGCGGTCGGGTAGCCTAGTGGTTAAAGCGTTCGCTCGTCACGCCGAAGACCCGGGTTCGATTCCCGACATGGGTACAATGTGTGAAGCCCATTTCTGGTGTCCCCCGCCGTGATATTGCTGGAATATTGCTAAAAGCGGCGTAAAACCATACTCACTCACTATGGCAAGTCAGTAAGTGGGCATAGTTATTCATACACAGGTACCACTATATAGTCGCTACGACTGTAGATAAGTGAGTGAGTGAGTGAGTTGGGTTTAACGCCGCTTTTAACATTATTCCAGTTATATCACGGCGTGTCAGCTTAATGTGGGAGGAAAGCCCCAAGTGATGCAGGTCTCAGACGTTTACCACTTCGGTGAAACCCACGAGCACGGGTATGGTGCTGACAAACCTAGAAACATAATCGGGGCGAACTGGGATTCGAACCCACAATCATAGGTTTCTGGCGTGTCCAGGGACGCAACTCTGCACAGCGAATCGCGGCGCCTTAGACGACTGGGCCACCCGTGCCCCCGACTGTAGTTAAGAAGATGATCATTGGTACTTTCTGATTTCGTGTGCTTGTTGTTTAACGCCGTTCTAGTACTATTCCAGCTCTGTGGCGGCTGCCATGCCAGGGAAACCTTTCAGTGATGTTATGATCCACGACTGTCGCCGTCGGTGTACAATGGCACGCTACCATTTCGTCGAGCCTCATCACTCATCCATTAAGTCACCTCGTGCCACAAGCCTAGGTTGCTGGAGACTGTTATAACCCGGAAGTCTTGTCATGATTACATATCCAACTAAATACCACAGAAAGATCTTGTGTGTGGATATTTGAACTTTAATGGTTGTGATGTCACCCGTTAACACCAAGGCCCCGTACAACAAAGTAATCTTAGCACTAAGTCGATCGGGGGGGGCACGGGGGGCCCAGTCGTCTAAGGCGCCGCGATTCGCTGTGCTGAGTTGCGTCCCTTGGGCACGCCAGAAACCTATGATTGTGGGTTCGAATCCCGGTTCGCCCCAATTATGTTTCTAGGTTTGTCAGCACCATACCCGTGCTCGCGGGTTTCACCGAAGTGGTAAACGTCTGAGACCTGCATCACTTCGGGCTTTCCTCCCACATTAAGCTGACACGCCGCGATATAACAGGAATACTGTTAAAAGCGGCGTTAAACCCAACTCACTCACTCACTCAATCACTAAGTCGATCGTAACTACCATACTTTATCATAGGCCAAAGACAATCGTACGAACGAGTCCCTGGTTATTACCTGGCTTTTACGTTTTTAATTCTCTTCACGTAAGACAGTGTTACAGCAGATAGCCCACTGAGGTACCATGTCGCAGTTTAACATGGTAACATTAAACAGACACAGTATACGGACTCCGAGCCGACCAGTCCTTGTGCTATCCTTTTAATGCCGGGCGCCAGGCAGGGTATCAACAAGTACCATCTATTTACGTATTCTGGTATGATCCACCAGGGGATCGAAATAGCAGTCTTCCGTTCTCCAGAGACTCTATCCACTACTCATCTCCAGAAATCATTTCTTAAGCTCACCTTCCCGATATTGACCTTGCATGTACATGGGGTTTAAACAGGTCCCCAGCAACCTTTGCTTGTTCGAGGCAACTAAACTGGATCGGGTGGTCAGGTGCGCGCATTCTTCTCCTTATGCATTCTCTGTCCAGTAGTTGTATCTAAAGACTGCTCTGATATAGCTGAAATAGTGTTGCGGCGTTAAACAACATTCACTTACTTCTGTTATGTTTTTGAAACTCGCCTATGTTGTTATTTCTTTTTATGAACCTATGTATGAATACTCGTCTCTCACAATTCTTTCTATACCATTATGTTGTAGAATAAAACTTTAAAGTACCTTAAGTGCTGTTTGAGAATTCCAAGAAAATAAATTGAAAACTTATATTGTGTAGTGGTTCATTTAATTGGATCCTGGGGGCTGTCGGGTAGCCTAGTGGTTAAAGCGTTCGCTCGTCACGCAGAAGACCCGGGTTCGATTCCCGACATGGGTACAATGTGTGAAGCCCATTTCTGGTGTCCCCCGCCGTGATATTGCTGGAATATTACTAAAAGCGGCGTAAAACCATACTCACTCACTCACTAATTGGATCCTGAGACAGGTTATTCGGTTTTATCATGGAAATCACACATTATGAAGATTCTCAAACGTTCCCTGTTGTTTCGAAACATTTAATATACCGACATTGTTTGCTTGCTCCCACTCAACCTCGCAGAGATTTAACAATGACCTTGGCAGCCGAAACTAATCTACAAGTCCTCATTCCGTTCTGGTGTGTACACTTGAGAAGATAAACACAGAAGCTGTCGTTTCACATTAGTGCTAGATGGGCTACCTTTCACCGTATAGCACGTACATGACACGTCCTACATACATGCAGGTCTTTCTGAACACCTGGGTCCACTTGCACAAAGCGATCTTAGCGCTAAGATGATCGTAACTCCCATACTTTAGCATAGGCTTACAATAGTCTTAGCCCTGAGATCGTTTTGTGCAAGTGCGCCCAGTTATGTGCATATGCATGCATATATGATAAGCTATATGATTGCTAATTCTTGTGCAGTTGAAAAAGTTATTTTATTCTATTAATTTAACAAATAAATATGAATTGTATAACAGGCTATTAGAAAATGCTGTGGATGTCGCCAAAAGAGTAATTGTATAACATGCCTTTTGTTAATGTACTGACATTTTGGAAGGAAAACTGAATGAGTTGCAAAATTATTCATTTTATCGTTACGACCAATACAATGCGTAAAGTAAACTTGGGGTGGACTTTTTTCTGAAAGCACCCGTCGGTGTTCCGTTTTCAAACCTTGAAATCTATATATCAGACAAACATTCTTGTGCGATAAAAGTTATTTCAATGTATTTCAGTTTAGCCTTCTTAAAAGCAAGTCACTGATTTGTATTAGTTTTTTTGTTCCCAACAAATAAGGAGACTATTTATGAAATATGCTCGACGTTTGTTGTTATTGGTAATTGGAAACCTGGTCCTAGATCTTAACTTTCAGGACCATGTCCAAGTTATGCGTGGGTCGGTGTATTGCATTAATATCTCAATGAACCACATTGAACTAATGATCTTGTTTCAGTACTGAAGGACGCACCGCCCAAGCCCCCGAGTCGGGCGCAGATGTTGGCCGTGGAAGCTTCTAAAAACGAGGACTACCTTTCATCCCTGGCAAGACTGCTCAAGAACCCGGGGTTCATTATGCTTACGATATCCTACGGTTAGTCTCACATAGCTGCGGTGGGGTAGTCTAGTGGTTAAAGTGTTCACTCGTCACCCAAGACCGGGTTCTATTCCAAAATGCGTACAATGTGTCAAACCTATCTCTGGTGTCTCCCGCCGTGATTTTGATGGAGTATTGTTAAAGGTGGCTCAGAACCATATTCACCCAATCATGTTTATAGATGTCTTTAATTCGTTTTTAACACACCATTTGTCCGGACCCCATCACAAATGCATGGAACGATGCTCATGGTGTCAATCGCTCGTCCAGACTCGATTATGTCCAGGTCGACGTTATATAGCTGGAATATATAACCAAACAACCTCTGAATGTATTTTTAACAAAGACCTGATACATTGTATGTTGACATGAAAAACTCACGATCATTTCACGCAACAGCTCCAATGGCCCTCTCTAAGACGTCCTGGTATTGTTCGTTACGCTATTGGTTTGTACGTTACGACCCTTGTGGCAGTGTGATCGATTCCAGTCGACCTGAGCACTGTTATGACTCATTCCCGCTGTCTAAGCTATCGACATAATGTCACAGTGAAGCCATGCGATCATTGCTTATTTTCTTCATCAGCGTAATAAATATGAAAAAAAACCAGTTGTGGTGCCAAGCGTGCCATTCTTGAAAACATTGAAATTCATTACTTTCGAAAAAGTGCAATATCGTCCAAGACATTGTCCTTTGTACCCTCAAAAGAGAGCGTGGTGCATCATGCTTCATTCCAACATCAATTGTTCCACACGTCAAGCCGTGGTATTGGTTAACGTTTGGATGACGTTGTGGGTTAAAAGACACATACGTCATTACTGCGATGTCCTCGGAACGTTGTTTATCGTCTCTGGGGATGTTATTTATGATCTATCCAAATGTATGGTTACTTTGTGGATGTCTCTTTAAAGCACTGAAGAACCTTGGTGCATGTCCATGGATGAAAGAACTCTTTGTGGATGATTAAATCATTTCAGGAAGTCAATTAACATGTCAACATGTTAGCATTATATGCAAGGGCTAAGGTAACTCAAGTAAATGATTGTACAAAATACATTACTGAATTTTTGTTTCAGGTATCAATACTGGGTCTTACTATGCTATATCAACGTTGCTTAATGCTGTAGTTCTATACTATTTTGAGGTACGTATGCTTCTCAAAATGTTATACAGGTGAGGATCCGGGGTAGAATAGGTCTTCAGTAACCCATTGTTGCCGTAAAAGGCGACTATGCTTGTCGTAAGAGGCTACTAACGGGATCGGGTGGTTAGGCTCGCTGGCTTTTTTGAAGCGTGTCATCGATCCCAATGTCGTTGGTCGATGCTCATGATATCAATCACTGGATTGTCTGGTCCATACTCGATTATTTACAGACCTCCGTCATATAGCTGGGATATTGCTGAGTGCGGCGTAAAACAACAAACCAAACTAAAATCTCAAAATGTTATCGCGAACGTTTCGTTCTAGCCCAGATCTGACTGTTGGTATTTTAGGTATTGCAATATTACAGTATTACTATTCTTACGAGCAAAGCTGGGATAAGCCGCATGGGGATTCTGCGTTAGGGTAGTTCCCCCACAACCTATACTGGTTGTGAGAGACGATCAAGTGATAGCTGATGACTTGGTTGAACACATGTGATCATACCCAGACAGCGTGGATTATTGTTTACAATATGAATCACTGGATTGTCTGATCCAGCATTTACACCTGATGTCAAGGCTGTCCATGAACGAGGCTCAGTCGTTTGTTGGGGAGCGTCCTTGAGCGTCCTTGAATCTGAATATGGTCCGGTGTAGTCTATCAGTTATAGGTATTCACAAGGGTTTAGCATAGTATCCATGCCAACTTTCTGTATTTAAGGATCTATCTACGCAATTTGGATACGATGAGATGCATCAACCAAGTTGGCGAGCCTGACAACCCCCTCTCGTTGCTGAAGACCAGTTCTAACCCGGATCATCTCGGGGTCCTTAGGTTATATATGTACCTGTGTACCTATATGTATATGTATAAAATATATATATATATATATATATATATATATATATATATATATATATATATATATATATATATATATACCAGGTGCTACTTTCATAGCTCTCGGGTCTTTCGTAGGTTACCTCATAATAGAGTCCTATAAGAGAGAGATTGCCACGTTATTTATTAGCCGGCGCACATTAAGACCGATGAGCGGGCGTTAAAAGCTGTTGTCTACGTGACATGTCGGCCTTTACATGCCATCTGGTATTACACGGTGCGCGGTGTAGAGTATGTGTGTGAAGTAGTTTGTGGGAAGATGTTACATTGGACGAGGAAGCTTTCAAGAGTGAGCGATAATTGCTGCTAGGATGACATCATTCTTGTAAACAGGCTCTGTCATCTAATACTAAGTCCATCAATAATGGCCTGGATTCCTTTACCCAAGTGGTTGCTCACGTTCTTTTTTACCCCGGTCAACGGATTAGTACGCACTAAATTTTGCATTCTCGGCTCCCCGGGGAGTATACAACCCATACTGCCTTTGAGGCGCTCAAACGTTAACAGTCATATTATCATCCCGTCCTATCGGGTACCCATTCACTGATGGGTGAGCAGAGGCATGTTTCGAAGAAAGTCTTTTGTACTTCAGCACGGGACCGAAACCCTAGAAACTCTCAGAAGTCAACCTGTGGAACACGGTCACCCTAAACTATGCGACCAATGTTGCTCAGCTTCACCTCATTTGTATTTATTATACAAGCATTATTATCTTATTCACAATCACCGCAAAACATAAATATCTCAATAGACATTAAGGTGTAAGAACTGATCGAAGGAACGATTGGACCGTCCCATATATCATGTCAAAAGGAGAGTTATGGCCCTTAGGGACAAATATGATCGCCAAATGTCCATATATGGAGGGAAACACAATGGCAAGTAATAATATCAAGTCATCCAATCGATGCCGCACATTCTTATCCATACTATCAATAGACGTAATAGCATGTCATCGATCCCAACTGTGTGGATCGGTGCTCATGATATCAAGCACTGGATTGTCGGGTCCAGACTCGATTATTTATAGACCGCCGTCATATAGCTGGAAGAGAGCTGAGTACCAACCAACCAATCATCGACGTAATCAACTGTGACGTGCCCAAGGGACGCAACTCTGTACATCGAATTAAGACACCTTGGGCCACCCGTACCCCGACACATTATTAACACGAACAATGAACATCAATATTGCTTCATGCAACGACCCCATGTTCATAAACAATAGTAATAATAGTTATGGTATTGATAGTAATGTATTATTAATTCTACCAATAATGGCAATATCGACACATGCTCACACATGGGTCAATAAATATATTTGTTTTGGCATAGGTATTGAGAGAGAGAGAGAGAGAGAGAGAGAGAGAGAGAGAGAAAGAAATGTTATACCCTCTGCCCTTCAAGTAAAATAATTAATATGTAAAAAGTAAAACCAATTAATTCCGTCTGTCCGTGCGCCCTTACGAGGACATTTCTTTCAATCTTTTCAAACACTTTTTAAAGCTATATGAGAAGAGCAGTGCGAAGTTTGATTTCAATATTTTGGTTTTCTGAAAAAAATATAGTTTTTTTTCTCATTTTTACTTCAACATTTGTGTGACCTAAAACTTGACAACTACTTAGGGAACAGTTTCCATTCTGATTGAAGAGGTGCAGTTCAACGTTTGAATTTGTGTTTGTGAGTTTGTATTTTTGAAAGTGTATGATCTTTTTCATGTTGTGAACATAGAATATGTTTTTACTTCAACATTTGAACGACCTTTAACTTAAAACTACTTCATAGATTCTATTCCATTTGGGGGTACAGTTTCTATACCAATAGCAGATGTGCAGTGGAAAGTTTGATTTCGATAAGCGGACTTTCTGAGAAAATATTGCTTTTTTCATGGTTTGAGCTTGAAATATGTTGGAGTCGAAGTCGGGAGTATTAGAGAACCCGGCTCACCTATTGTCTTGTTTATGTTTATGTTTACGGGTCGCCATCGACACATTGAATTGTGAATTGTTCCACAGGTTGACTTCTTAGAGTTTCTAGGGTTTCGGTCCCGTGCTGAAGTACAAGAGACTTTGTTCGAAACATGCCTCTGCTCACCCATCAGTGAATGGGTACCCGATAGGACGAGATGATAATATGACTGTTAACGTTTGAGCGCCTCAAAGGAAGTATGGGTTGTATACTTCCCGGGGAGCCGAGCATGCAAAATCTAGTGCGTACTAATCCGTTGACCGGGGTACACATTGATCATTAATATTTTTAACTTTTTTTGTGAATAATCGGTTAAAGTTGACTCATTCCCCATCACATTCCAGGGTCAGGAACAGAACGCGGGTCGTATTGGTCTCACCATCGTCCTGGCGGGGGTGCTGGGGTCAGTGGTGGCTGGAATATGGCTCGACAAGACAAAGACTTTCAAGTGAGTGAGCGAGTGATGTGCGAGTGACGAGTAAGTTTGTTTCAGCGAGGGAGTGGTTTAAAATTTAACACCGCTTTGAACATCATTGGCTGCATGTCATGGACATATAGGTCTCAGTGAAACCAAGTACCTACTACAAATAGAAGAATACTTGGAAGGTAAATGATACATGATATGTAGACAGATGAACAGATTGACTATATAGATCTGAAATAGCGGAGGGTAAAGGTTTTCAATTTATTTGGACACGCGACATTCCTGATAGATTATACAAGAAGGGTTCCAGTCTGTGTCAGACAAGGCAGGCGGAGAAGATATATACAGTAGACTACGGTTATAACGAACTCAAAGGGACTACTAATTTTAGTTCGTTATAACCGTAATTCGTTATAAGCATATATACAGCATAACTACAGCATATAGTCGGGACTAAAAAGTTAGTACGTTATATCCGTTAGTTCGTTATAACCGTGTTCGTTATAACCGTAGTTTACTGTAGTTTGTTTGCATTCATTCAGCTGCAAATTCTCTTCATGAACAGATCATGTTGTACCTTTCTGTACTTGTTCTACCTCTCTGTGTGAATATCTGAGGACGCATCCATAGACGGTCGTTTCAAGTGAACTTTCTGATCGGCCAATCATCGTCTGAATTTTCTGGATGAAAGAGCGAGGCATTCATGCCGGTATATCAGACGTCTGTATCGCGAAAACGAAATTGGGGATGAAAAAGGCCGCGACATTATGTGGATGTAGATATTTTATACATCCTGTGGGCCTCTACATCCAATCATGATTAAAGTCGTAATAAATAAAAGCGACAAAACCCTTCCCATATTCATATGAATTCTCTGTCAAAATCAGAGTCGATTGTGCGATTCCGATGATATCATGAACATGTGTTTATAAATCATTATCAGATATTGATAATAATCAGGTGTTCGCGAAAGGGGAACCTGCACCACTGGTGGCACCCGTCACAAACACATGCAAAGGCAAGACAATTGTTAACTTGAAAATACACGGGAGCATATGGTACAAGTCAAAGTATTTTGTTAAAATCAAAATTCCCGCTCAGGGTTAACCTGTCGCGACATATATGCACGTGTCCTCAGAATATCGGACGAAAAGATCTTATGATAATGTGATTGGTCAAATGCAAGTCTCGTTCAAACTAAGATACTGCGTTGAAGCATATGGTAGTTCTGACACAGTTCGTGATACAGCGTAACGTATCGTATACTCCCCAGGGGGCTGAGAAAGAAAATGGATTGCCCACCGACACATTGACAGGGTTATATTGGTGTTATCGTTTTCATGAGATGGTCCACAGCGCCTTACAAATATCCATTTGTTGTTGTTGTTGTTGTTATTATTATTATTATTATAATTATTATTATTATCATGTTATCATTATTATTATATAACTAGAAGGGTACAATTAAAAAAGACATATAAACCTACCACAAATGTCATTTATCAGAATTGGACTATTCGAAAGGCAATTTCCGCAATGTATTAAATCGTTTCTTCCACTGACTATGTTTTTTGGCAACAATTATGATATTGGATCTTCATTGGCAATTTCCAGGGGCACCTCGCTAGCAATCTACATACTGTCTATGGTGGGGATGGTTGTATTTACATTCACCATGAACTTGAGTCATATCTGGATCGTGTTTCTAACAGCTGGGTCATTAGGGTAAGTACTTCTTTGAGTGAGTGCCGTTAACGTGAACAGTATTTCAGTCAAATAACGGGCTGTCAGCTTGATGTGGGAGGAAGCACGATGTCAGTCATGCATGTGTTAGACCTTAACCACTTTGGCGCAGCCTACGAGCACAGGCATATGGTGCTAAAACGTATGACATGGATCAGGGTGAATTTGGGTTCGAACCAACGATCATAGGATCATAGTTCGCCAAAGGGGCGTAACTCTGTAAAGCGAAAAGCGGTGGCGTGGGCGACTTGGTCATCCGTGTTCCATACTGAGCACTTTGAAATCAGCAATTACTCACTCTACATATAACCTTGGCACAAAGGTCACAGGCCCGTGAAGATCCGGGTTAGAATAGGTATTCATCAACCAATGCTTGCCGTAAAAGGCGACTATGCTTGTCGTAAGAGGCGACTAATGGGATCGGGTGGTCAGGCTCGCTGACTTTGTTGATGCATGTTATCGTATCCCAATTGCGTGATACCCGTGAAGATTCCGGGATAGAATAGGTCTTCAGCAACCCATGCTTGCCGTAAAAGGTAACTATGCTTGTCGTAAAAGGCGACTCACGGGATCCGGTGGTCAGGCTCGCTGACTTGGTTGATGCATGTCATGGTATCCCAATTGCTTGGATCGCCTCATATTTATCACCAAATTGTCTGGTCCAGACTCGATTATTTACAGACCGCCGTCCTATAGTTGGAATATCGCTGAGTGCAGCGTTAAAAAACAAACAAACAAACAAACAAACACATGCAACAATTCGTTTTAATTCCTCACCACGAAAGAACCCAATTCTTCATATCAGTGTATGTTTTGACGTTCATGTCGTCGCTAGATGGCTGAAATAATGCTGATGCGACGTTAAATGTTAACTCACACACTTGATGCTAATTGTGTAACGTTGTGCAAGGACAAAGATGAACGTGATCTGCGCAAACATCATCAGCGGCACTGTGTTGTGTTGATCTTGCTTTTAATCAATCAAACAACCTTACGTTCCGTCATCGTCACCAACAGACGGCTTATTAAATCAAGGACCAAGGATTCTGGAACTTGTGGTTCGATCCCATGGCAGCGTAAATCCAAAAGACATTAGATGGCACAAGCTGTTACACAAATGTCTGGGCGGAGCATTAAGGGGATGCATCTGGCCGACTCAGTTTAATGTGTCTGAGTGGGGTATCAGTGTTAAAAGAACTGCGGCATGGCATCTGGGTGGGTTAGCACTTAGTCCGGACTAATACAAGCAGACACTTAGCCTTTCCCTGTGAGCTAAATTGGTTGGCAGCGTGATCTTGAAGCGAACAAAAACATCATCTGTTTAATGAGTCTTGTTATTTTGTCAAGAATTGTTGAGGAACTAGACTAACATCTAGTCTCTGAAATGAACATATCGTACAGAAAAAAACAGTTGTTCAGTTATCTTAATAAAAATATAATAAAAGGGAGCCAAGTGTCTCTCTTCATTTTCAGAAGTGTTGAGGAACTAGACTAACATCTAGTCTCTGAAATGAACATATCGTACAGAAAAAACAGTTGTTCAGTTATCTTAATAAAAATATAATAAAAGGGAGCCCAGTGTCTCTCTTCTTCATTTTCTGATACTTCAGTAATCTAGACTTGCCAAACATTATAGACATTATAGGGCTGTATTTGTTATATATTTGTATCAGGGTCTGTAAGACAGACTATTGAGGAACGTACACTTTAAGCTGCTTTGACTATTGAATGCTGGTAACAGCAACATGATTGAAAGGTCGAGACATGCGGGCTGGAATCTGTCATTTGGTTACCATGTAATGGGCCAGTGGGGATCCCGGATCAGAATAGGTCCCAGCATGCAATGCTGGTCGTAAGAACCGACTAATCGGGTGATCAGAGTCGGTGACTCGGTCGTATCCCATGATGTCAGTCACTGGGTTGTCTGGCCCAGACTCGATCATTTACAGAACGCCGCCATGTAGCTGGAATTGTGGCGCCATTAAACAATCAGCCATTCACCTCATACAATGAATGAATGTATACCGTTGATGTTATCACTCTTATTTTGTCCCAATTACAGTTTTTTCATGACGGGTTATCTGCCAGTGGGATTTGAGTTTGCAGCAGAAATTACATTCCCTGAAGGAGAAGGCACCTCGTCTGGTCTTCTCAACGCATCAGCTCAGGTAGGAAATACATCTCTGCGAGGTAAATATATCAGTACAGATATCGCCTTGATTGCTCGTTATTTCTTATTTAAGTTACGTGTAGTTAGTCCTGCTACTGTAAAAAACAAACTCTTTTAAAATCTTATATGGTCATAGGACATGTTTGAATAGTAAGGGAATTAGGAAACATCATTCCGATATGCTTGACTTAATCATGCGTAGATATCCAACTAGAACATATTAATAGATAATATCTACATGTCAAGAACAATCACTGACAATCTGTCACGACTGAGTGAGTGAGTAGGTATGGTTTTACGCCGCTATTAGCAATATTCCAGCAATATCACGGCGGGGGACGCCAAAAATGGGCTTCACTCATTGTACCCATGTGGGGAATCGAACCCGGGTCTTCGGCGTGACGAGCGAACGCTTTAACCACTAGGCTACCCCACCGCCCCCACGAATGAGTGAAAGGTCAAAGTCCCTTCATTATTCAGGACGAGTATCCATCATTACGGGAGGATTATTAATGATCAATTTTAAGAAACAAAGATGTACCAAACGCACTCTTATGACGAAACGTACTGACGACATGCTATTTGTTCCAGTAAGGTATATAATATTTGTTTGCACTATCTGTTGCCATGGTTGTTTCGTATATTTTTCCCGATGTATGTCACGCAGGGTTTTCATAGTGGATATGATAAATTTTACAGTCAGTGTTTACAGTCCTCTTCAGTGTTGACCGTTGTTTATAATTAGTGCACTTGTAGGGTAGCCTAGTGGTTAAAGTGTTCGCCTATCACGCAGAAGGCCCGGGTTCGATTCCCCACATGTGTGCAATGTGTGAAGCTGCATAAAACCCAACTCAATAATCAGTGACTTGTGTGTGTTTGTCTGTCTCAATGTCATCATTAACCATCAAACTGTCATATAGATTTCACTGATTTGGGTAAACAGATCGCTGGTTTTGAACGGCTTGATCAAGGACTGCCAAAAGACCTGATCTTACACCCATTGAAAGAGATGTATGCGCCAATATCTAAAGGATGTCATACTAAATCTTTCAACATGTAAATGTTTTATAGACCGCAACCCAAAATAACCACAGAACGCTGCTGTCGGGTAATTCCGCATTGAACCACTCACTCAATATATACTGATTTAAGACTATATTACGGTCTGGAAAACACTTACCTTCGATCGATTGTCTTATCAAGTATTTACCATCACAGACACTCTGACAGCTAAACTGTTTGAACGCCGGTGCTGTCTTTGGAAAATCAATGCTTTATGTATTAATCAATCGATTTTGCAGTTTTTTGGCATCATCTTTACGATCGGGATGAGGGCAATGATGAACCGCTTTGGTGTGCTCGCTGGCAACTGTACTCTGGCTGTGGCGCTATTGGTCGGGAGCATTATGACTGGTAGGCAGCAATTGCCCTTCTTTAACCATCTGAACTGAAGGACTATAATTTTGTATTACGTAAGGCACATTTCCGAGTTTGCTGCTTGCTCTTAGAGACAAACCATTAATCATTAACAGAGCCCCGGGTTGGGAAGGCTTACTCACAAGGATGCGGTATCTCGCGTTCTTTATGTCTGTGATTATGATAACCTCGACTGTAGCACAGTCCCTGAACCATTATATTTTCCCTTTCTCACAGCCTGTGTAACCCTAAAAGAAGCAAGTCTAGATTTTCCACGATTTAGGAATCAGAATCTAAATCTTTATTTTCTTTACATGTAGTCTCTTGTCCCTGTCAAAATTATTTATTTTCGGAGAAGTAGCGTTAGTCTAATGATCTCTGTGCATTAGACCATGCCTTTCTGTGTATCTCAATTGCCGGGGTCAATTATTAGAAGCAGTGTGGACGATTTGTTCTCAGCACGATCAATAAACTTTTGTTTGGATATCTAGATTACAGAGCTGCAGATAAGCAGCGTATATGCGTAAAAAACGTTATCTGGACAATCTGTCTTGGTTTCAACACTTATTTTTACTTTGCTGTGCTGTCATAGATCCTTTGGAGTTTTCTGCATAGTGAGAAAAATGTAAACATGTTTGGGTGAACTGTAAATGTTTTGTCATTCATGTGATGAAGGGCCAAGGTCTTGTCCTGAAACGTTGTTACAAGAAATACAGAAGCTCTTATCCATGCAAAGGTTATTTCTTCAATGACTTCATGTTCTACTAACTTTTAATCCCCCATCAGAGACTACAATAGGCCCGGTGGAGACCTGAAGCCTGTCGGAATGTCATGATTGTTTTCATGCATACCCTTTGCATTTTCGTATTAAAACGCACTTGGGCTGATTTTCATGTCATTCTTGTCAAAAGTATTTCTTGTATATTTGATAAATCATGCACATACTGCTTTTATATATAATCTATCTAAGAACTAAATACTATCAAAATTATTATCCAAAATAGTTTCTTCTTTCAATTCACTGTGTTATGAGCCTTACTTAATTAGTTCTATCGGAGAAAAATGAACGGACAGGAGGATACACCATTTATTGAGATCGAGGGCTGTTGCTAAAAATGATCTGACGATATTCAATGAATAATTCAGTCCTCTTGACGTCGCGTTTCTAGCTCTGCACGTGTTATAAGGGAGATTATAGTGACAACTGAGGCCTCTCAAAGTCTGGGGGCAACGGGTGGCCCAGTCGTCTAAGGCGCCGCGATTCGCTGTGCAGAGTTGCGTCCCTTGGGCACGCCAGAAACCTATGCTTGTGGGTTCGAATCCCGGTTCTCCCGAATTATGTTTCTAGGTTTGCCAGCACCATACCCGTGCTCGTTGGTTTCACCGAAGTGGTAAACGTCTGGGACTTGCATCACTTCGGGCTTTCCTCCCACATTAAGGTGACACGCCGTGATATAACTGGAATACTGTTAAAAGCGGCGTTAAACCCAACTCACTCACTCACTCAAAGTCTGACGTAACATATGTTTTCTTTCTTGTAGCATTTATCAAAGCGGATTACAGGCGGCAGAAGGCAGGACAAGAGGTATGTGAACATAATATACATAGCCAGGTTGCCGGACTAACGCTGTAGAGAACTCACAATTCACAGTCATGTAAAGATGTAGTCTTTGAGCTTCACTACCTCCAAGTTACAGCTTTGTTTCGAGAGTGATTTGAATGAAAATCGCCTCACATACGCAAGCATCCCGCCTCATGTGAACCCCTTTGAAAGTCATTTTCATTTCATTAGAACTGACTGAGACGTTTTAAGCTGAATTAGGGGATAAACATGTTTTTTCAGATTTGCGGATATTATTACTAATAGGTATTTACCTTAACGTTTTAGAATCTTGCAAATTGCTTGTCCCGCTAGCGATATCTAATCTACCTTAGACCATGATTTGGTGATGACCGCATTCCACCGAAAGAAAACATAAGCCGGTGGTTTCAAATGTTGAAATTTCCGGGCTTCGAATATTAAATAAAAGCTGCAAAATTGAAAACTTTATCAAATTTAGTATTTAATTATCGGGTATCCAATTCGCCAAGCAGAATGGCACGTTGTACACATTTGTGATTGAAGGAGTACGTAGTCATGCGCAGGGAATGATCCAAGAGATTCCTGGGTTTCGAATCACTTTTAAACACGTTTTTAACCAATCAGGTTGCAGCACACAAACCCATTTGTTGATCATAAATGATACAATATGATTATAATTCTTGTCTGTACGTTGAGGGTACTAAAAGAGGCTTTAGTTCCATGTCTTCTCTCAGAGCTCCACAGGTCCATAGGCGGAACCCGAGGTCGCCTAGCAGAGCTCTGAAAAACTCCTCACCTCTAAAATGTATTTTCCGGCGCTCTGAGATTAAATCCTGGCTTCCATTTGGCTCATTTCGTAGTGATTTATGAGTAAAAAAGATGTTGTTGCACACAATACAAAATAACGACCGGGTGTCATTCTACCGAGATGATAAAATTTTAAAAATATACACGGAGAAGGGGTGAAATTGTGACTAGCCAAACGGGCCGTCTACTGTACGTTTCAGCAGGCCCTTTATAATTTCAACTGGCCACGGGCCAACGGGCTTGCTGTTGAAGCGACGTGTGCTTCTCCTTATAGTCAGGTCATGCACGTGGTACGAGAGAGGTGAGCCATGTCCATGGTCTAGTTCACGTGTCATGTTTAGCAATACCAACTGTTATCAGGGTGTGAAACTCCCAAAAATATCAGCCAGACCACAGGACTGGCTAGCTGAAATACTTGCCAGCCCTGACCAAAACCTGCCTGCCCACTATAATCATATGTTTCTCAGGATAAGCTAACGGGATTTCTTTTTGGTTACATTTTATCATTCATCTTTACATGTGAATTAATGATTATCATCGGGAAATATTTAGAATATTGTCACATATGAAATATAACCCGACCGTCGGGCAGGGGGATTTGAAAATCTGGCAGCCCGAGTTGAAATCAACCCGTCTCGGACGGTCGGGCAGGCAGGTATTTCGAACACTGCTGTAATACAGTCGAGTTTGATAACCCGTTGGGATTCCGGGGAATAATAGATCCTCATACCCATGTGACAATACATGGGGCGATCAGCTCCCGGTGGTCTGGCCCGGACACTGAGTTGCCTGGATCACTCGCTATTTACAAGCCGTTGTGGCGCCAGACAACTAGCGCTGATTACTCGATAATAGTTCATATTTTTGTGAAGGCTATTATCATTACTAAAATTGGTCAGTCGTAAAAACCAATACAAGTCGGTCGGCTGACCTGTTCGGACATCATGACGTCAAGATTGACCCTGTTCGTACTTTATGTTACGGTGTACCGAACAAAGCCACTGGCGTTCGTAAGTCAAATATGATATTGTCGCACAAACATATTTAATCGAAAAAAGGCCTTACTCTGAACACGTAATGATACATTCGTCAGTTGTGTCACTAGCATGTACGGGAATTTACAAATTGAACGTACGCGTTCACCCCGACCTTGTCTCCTTGGCGTCCATACAGCTCTTGAAATCCCGGACCCACCGCCATTGAAACATGTAACTCATGGTTTAAAGATGGCCATATGTTATGCTTACGAATGCTTGCTACTAGATTTCGTTCGGTGAAAATATTGATGTTTTTATTGGAAACTCATCGAATGTATATTATTAATGACGTTCCAGTTGAGTAGTGAATGTATTTTGACGTCATCCGTGGTATGTGATGTGTTTACAACATTGCTAATAGCAGTGAAACACCCCGCTTACTACATACAATATTTCTTTGCGTTACGTATACACATTTCGTTTTGTATTTTCTTTCAGTATTTCGCCAAATTGGACAACATTGAGATTGAAGTTCGCGAAAACAACGAAGAGGGCGACATTGAACTAGCACAGGACATGTAGGCACTTTCAACAAGGCAACTTCCTGGAGCATTTAGTCTGTGTGCTCTCGAAATCAAAATGACATTAAATCGGATATCTTGCTGTTGGATTTAATTTTATCTGAAAATGTGGTAATGGTCGGTTGAAATGGTATTGACCTTTGTGGGTATTACCTGACCTTCACTTGACTTCGTTGTGTTTGAGAATTTACAACATGTCGGGTCGTGTTTCTTATGATATGCCTGGTGAATGTACCACCCGGCGTTAATGGTGCTTGGAAAAGGGGAGTGTGATTTCCAATCCTATTCATTTATCAAACTGAAAACCAGCACTATAAGGCACCAACACACGGTTTAGTCCGCCAACTTTATAAGTAGATAATGTATGGATAACAACTTCTTTATTTTAATGTGATGGCAGTGTTTAGGTATTGATCCTTATGCCGTTGTCAAGCAAGGCTGAATAATGAAGATGGCAGAGTATATATAGTATGTGGAAGATTAACAGTAACAACAATTGCATACGTGAGAGAAACTAACATGAGTAGGTTAAATAATAACTACGGAGGGTTGGTTGGTTGGTTGTTTTGCGCCACATTCAGCAATACTCCAGCTATATGATGGCGGTCTGTAAATAATTGGGTCTGGACCAGACAATCCAGTGATTGATATCATGAGCATCGATCCACGCAATTGGGATCGATGACATGCATCAACCAAGTCAGCGAGCCTGACCACTCGATCCCGTTAGTCGCCTCTTACGACAAGCATAGTCGCCTTTTACGGCAAGCATGGGTTGCTGAAGACCTATTCTACCCCGGATCTTCACGGGTCAACAACAGAGGGATAATACTGTAACAACATGATGGACAGAGAACATGATGAGGATGCAAATAAGACAGGAAGCCAATTAAACAGGATAAGTATACATAGGTCGGGTTTCTGTTACTTAATGAATTCATAGTAGGCAGATTGGATGGGTTTTTTTTGTTTTTGTTTTTTGGAAATAGCCTTGATCATCGTTTATTGATGGGCTTGTGACGGGGGATGTGGATTGCTTTGTTAGTTTCCTTAAGTGAAGTCATGGATGTTGTTGGCGAGGATTTGGACATTTTCTCTGTTGCTGTGATTAGGACAGTTGCTGATATGGTCCGAGTTTTGTGCTCTGGTTATCAGTTTTGGACTGATGATCTGACATTATTTCACTGTAATTTCAGCGTGACCCCGCCGCGTCAAGTTCTTACACCACAACGAACATTAATGAATTTTGTGAAAACTGTGTATTGTATGCATAATGGGCATTTGGTATTCACATTGGTTTGCCGGGGTATGAATAGAAACGCTGAACAATTACATATTAATGTTCATGACTGTCGCCAGGTTGCGCCAAGTCTTATGATAGACACACGCACTTAATTTCCCATATGTATTCCACAATGACATTTGAATGCAATGTATGGGTTTTGTTTCCTGGACATATATGAAGCCAGAATGATGTTAATTAGCGGAATGTTATTAATATATACTGTTTGCGGTTGTAGTTTTGCGAAATAATCAAAATTGATTTAACAGTATGTTGTTTTGTTCCATGTACTGGTGACTCGTGAAGACCCATGTAGAGAACAGGTCTTTAGCAAACCCATACTTGCTGTAAGAGGGGACTATGCTTGTCGTCACAGGCGACTAACGGGATCGGATGGGATCATCGTATCCTAATTGTGAAAATCGATGCTCTTGATATCAATCACTGGATTGTTAGACTCGATTATTCTCAGACCGTTGGCATATAGCTGGAATATGTCTGAGTGCGGCAAACCAACGAACCAACATGTTACTGGTGAAGTCTCAACGATCGATGATATCAACGAGTGCCAAAACGTTAACGATGATGGTATGCCACTAGCTTAGAATACAGGGTAATGATTGCATTATGTATGCTATTTGTCAGTACGATTAAAGACGTATTTATACCAGCTGTTGTAATACGCCATATGTTCAAACCATGCCATTATCTTATTGTAATGTGTGTATTCACTTATTACTTTACGTCCTGTAATTTTAGTTTTGAATAGTAAGTTTTAGTAGCTTTAGTTTTTTAAGGGTCGTGTTTCTGGAATTGCCAGTTAATCAGAGCCCAGTCCTCATCGTACTGAAACTATGCATGTAGGTCTTCAGACCAGGCGTATGAGGAACCCAGTCCACTACACCCTCAGTCTCTGCCCATCCGGGTTCTAATCTCTAAAGGAATTGCCTGACGGTTGGTTCTAATGAAACACGACTTGGCGTTGGCGTTAGAGACGCTTGTGACTTTGGTTAATATTAGTCGCACATTTTATAATTTAGTGGCCCCGTGTACAGTTCTCGGTAGGAAGTGACAGCATCGAGTCGGTAGCTTGCAGTATATACACATATTTACTTTTATACAGGGTAGGTATTGGAAGGGTAGTGCCAGGATAGCACAGTGGTTGGCCAAGGTCGTCTGAAACAGATTAAGTCATAACTATAAACAACAGTAATTGATGAGAAGTGGTATGGTTCCATAGCTTGTTCAGGAGGACTGACAATATTTACAATACACTGGTGATGGCCAGACAAAATGTGCCCTGAATTGGTCGCTCTGACAGAGTCTCTAAACGGCATCTGTCTCACGTCATCAGTGTTTTAAGTATTGTCATGCTGGCGACTGTAATCTGGTGGCAATAATAACCAGCAACCGTTGCTTCATTTGCAACCCGATTCGATTGGATAACGGTGTTAAAAATAGCCGTCCAGTCATAGTATTCCCATGAACGAAAGAAATTCGGTGCTAAGTTAGAGATAGGGGCGTTTGTGAGTGTTGACTACACCTCCGGAACGAAGCTATGGTGGCGAATTGTTCAAGGGTATTTATCATTATAGAATCGAGATATAATACACTGTATGATCGATGATGAATCTGACCGTGTTCTAGAGACGGTAAGACCCTAAACACGTTCCTTGTCCAATGACATAAACGCATTTAGATGCGTAAACATGTCAATAATTCTGTTTTGAATCCAGCACGTTGAAAACCTGAAGTGTATGATCAAAGGATCTAAACAATGATTCTTGTGAATCTAAACATGTAGATTTGAAACACAAGACTAAAAATGGTTTCGCTTGCAAACGCGTATATTAACAGATGTTTTGGAAATGTAGCGAGGTGTTGGACCACTGCATCTGTTTCTGACCACTGCATCTGTTTCTGACCACTGCATCTGTGATTCTAAATGAGTTCAAACCGTTGTTCCGTTCATGATTTGAACACAATCCCACATCCCAATCCCACAACTACCTAACCATTTCTGCAGTGTAATAGACTAATATTCGTCAACGCTTTCAGTAAGTTTTCCAATTTGTGTTCATAATACTTTTGACCTTTGAAATGTGAAATTGTGTTTGAGATAAAATGGCACCATATTTATTTCAACTCAGGGTTTTTATTCAGTTGTTGAAATTAATGTTTGACTGTAACCATGCATGAATTTATAGATACATATTTTAGTAATGTACATATATATTTCAAATTTATACGAGCTTCAAGGATGTTGTGTCAAATTCCATATCTGATAATAGGTATTTCCTTTGCTTGCACGTCTGGTATGTTTATGATACATGTCTGCATTTTTATTGGGAATATTTTATGTAAATAAACGCCATTTATAAGTTTGTGTTTGATTGTTGTTTTACGCCGCAGTGAAGAATATTCCAGCTATATAATCGCCACCTGAAAACAATTGAGTCTGGGGCAAACAAACACGTGGCGGATAGTGTGACAAACATCTCACGCGATCAATGAAGTCGCCGAACCTGACCACCCGATCCATATTACTCGCCCCCCCCCTGTCAAAAAAGTTAACTGCGGCCATGATGTAGATTTGTCATGGTCATAGGTGGTGAGGTGAAATGGGGCTTGACGGTGCTTTACGTGGTGTGTGTGTGTGTGTGTGTGTGTGAGAGAGAGCTAGTACTAGTCCCGACTAATGTCGGTTTTTATAGTTTTACCCCGCTGAGATACCATGTCGCAGTTTTAACATTGCCATACCTACTCCGAGACGGCCAGGCCTTGTTTCCCCCTTCATGTCGAGCGCCAGAGAGGTTGACAACAAATTCCGTCTTTTGGATTGAACCCCTGATCCTCCGCTTTCCGAGATCCATTTACAAGACCGCGGAGACGGTCGACATGGTGATGTGGTTAAAGACTTCTAGTATCAGGTGTACTGCCAAATATGATTCTACCATGCATTAGATACTCGATTCTGATTGGCCAATCAGAGGTTTCGAATCACAATCACCACCTCTGCGTGCTTGGTTCCAAAATCAATTAGCGCGGTTAAATCTACAGGAGAGCTGGCTCGAAATTGAAATACCCAGTAATTAAAACGTAAACATGAACGTCACATGACAAGAACTATACAACGGCAACAAATGACGTTCTTGAAGGTCGAAGTCGAGACATACACGTAGGTTGTCAGAACAAATTGGCATGTCAAACTTTGTTTTAAACCCATTCTGATCGCGTATGACAAAAGGTACATACAGAACTCGAGATATCCCCATCCGTGGTCTGACAGTTTGGCCCACACGTTCCCAGAATTGAAAAAAAACACACTGAATCCCATGAACACTTCTTATAATGACCGGCGGCGGTCGGGTAGCCTAGTGGATAAAGCGTTCGCTCGTCAAGCCGAAGACCCGGGTTCGATTCCCGACATGGGTACATTGTGTGAAGCCCATTTCTGGTGTCCCCTGCCGTGATACTGCTGGAATATTGCTAAAAGCGGCGTAAAACCATACTCACTCACTCACTCTTATAATGACCAGTTAGAAGATTCAACAGTTAAGCCTTGCGGAGTTATGCCCCTTATTTGGAAACTCCTGAATCGCGGTTGTATATTAGTTTATACCGTATTTATTACAATACAAACATCGATTATTGAAAGATTTATTCATTTTTGTAGTCATATATATAGAAGTTACTTTAAAAAAATCTTACTGGCTTCAGCGCTCACTGTCATTCAGTTTCATCCTGTATCTTTACAGTAAATTCTAATTATATCTCATATATATATAATATGTATGTATGAAAATGCTTGCATATATATATATATATATAATTAAATAAGTGGAGTAAGATTGAACACAGTTTTAATTGGTACTTTCAACTCGTACCACGTATGAGTCTCATCAGGCCATAACTGAATAACGGACATGTTACTACCTCATGTCCGTTATTCATATATATATATATATAGGCGGAATCGTCTAGCAACGGTGCGACTGCTGACTGGATGTCCAAGGCTGCTGGCGGACGTATCCGAGCGAAAACGTATATAACGAACAACGGATATAACGAACTGATTTCTCTGGTCCCGTGTTCGATATAATTATGTTCTACTGTATGTACTTCAAATGTCACAACCACGGGGTTCATTGATCAGGTACAACAAAGGAAAATGCCTCTAAAAGTGTACATGACAGTAAATAAAAAGCTGGCTAGTTGCAGGATGCAGATGCAGTTGCCAGACAGAAGATGACGCCGTGCCTGCGTCGATGCTCACGAGGCATGGACCAGATATTGACTTCACAAGGAAGATTATACTCAACAACGTCATTCAGTCATATCATGTCTGTCTGTCTGTTTGCGTGCGTACGTGCGTTTGTATTGGCTATCTTTTTTAATTTTGACACAACATTCACTTTCAATCCACACGTGAATCTGCTTCAATTAAGAGCATCCTAACAAGACTACTTTTGTTCACCAGAAAGATGAAACCTTTTTTGTATACAGATGCCTCGATCTTCGTGTATTCTTATTACAATCCCTTAGGATTCGGAGATAAAATTGGTCCAGTGTAATGCCAGCTTGTCATAAGAGTCGGACTAAATTGATCGTTTTCACACGGTGATGTGGCTGTAAAACTCACTCTAACAAAATTACATTTCAATATATACATCAAAATTAATTGCGGACACATACCAATTTAGTAGGTTTAATGCATCCGTTTACAGGAGCCACTGTTACCTCTTATGGTGAAGGGTTGCTGAAGTTGCGTATCATAATCTACTTGCGTAGTGTGTGCCTTTCTCAGCTCCCTTGGGGATTATATTTGAAATTTGGGACTTCCATGGTTACCACATAACTATCTGGGAAATGCGTTTTGTGTCACAACGATCGAGACCCGTGAAGATTCCGGGGTGGAATAGGTCTTCAGCAACCCATGCTTGCCGTAAAAGGCGACTACGCTTGTCGTAAAAGGCGACTAACGGGATCGGGTGGTCAGGCTCGCTGACTTGGTTGATGCATGTCATCGATCCCAATTGCGTGGATCGATGCTCATGATAATAATGACTGGATTGTCTGGTTCAGACTCGATTATGTACAGACCGCCGTCATATAGGTTGAATATTGCTGAGTGCGGCGTTAAACAACAAACCAACCAACCACAACGATCGATGTTTTGTTACCATGCCTAGCGCTCGGTATAAAGTTGATGAAACAAGGACAGGTCGGCTCGGAGTCAATATACTGTGCAGCATGGTATCTCAGTGGGGAATTCATGTTACACTGCAGCATGGTATCTCAGTGGGGAATTCATGTTACACTGCAGCATGGTATCTCAGTGGGGAATTCATGTTACACTGCAGCATGGTATCTCAGTGGGGAATTCATGTTACACTGCAGCATGGTATCTCAGTGGGGAATTCATGTTACACTGCAGCATGGTATCTCAGTGGGGTAGCACTTTTAAACCGGCATTGGTACAAGCTGCCACACACGCCCACGCATCTCACCATAGGTGAGGTGAAGGTGAAATTGGGTTTAACGTCGCGTCCAAGATTATTGCACTTATATAGCGACGTGCATGCACGTTTGTGTGTGTGTGTCTGCTTGTACTAGTCCGGACTGATGCCCATTTATAGTGCTAGCCCACTGAGATACCATGCCGCAGTTTAACATGAATACCCCACTCAGACACAGTATACTGACTCCGAGCCGACCAGTCCTTGTTTTAGCCCCTTAATAACAGGGTAACAACAAGCACCATCTTTTAACGTCTTTTGGTATGATGCGGCCGGGGATCGAACCCCGCACCTTCCGCTCTCCGGGCGGACGCTCTACCATTAGACCACGGAGGCGGTCTTCACATCTCACCATAACCCGACTAAACACAACTAAACCTATGTACATGGCATATATTCTCGCACGCACATACGTGTTATTTATCGCATTGATTGCATCAGGTTTATATACGACTCCTTTTGGTTTACAATGACCTATCGAAAATATCTACTTCAAGTTCCTAAGGGGGCACGGGTGGCCCAGTCGTCTAAGGTGCCGCGATTCGCTGTGCAGAGTTGCGTCCCTTTTGGGCTCGCCAGAAACCTATGAGTTTGGGTTCGAATCCCGGTTCGCCCCGATTATGTTTCTAGGTTTGTCAGCACCATACCCGTGCTCGTGGGTTTCACCGAAGTGGTAAACGTCTAAGACCTGCACCACTTCGGGCTTTCCTCCCACATTAAGCTGACACGCCGTGATATAACTGGAATACTGTTAAAAGCGGCGTTAAACCCAACGCACTCACTCACTCACTCAAATTCCTAAACACAAAAAGCAAACCATTCTGTTTCTCTATTCTTTATTCCTCACATACAAAACTCTATTCACAATATTTACAAAAAGGAAATATTTACAATTGACCGTTTAATGTGAACGAAAATACCCAAGCATCCAGCAAATGCGTGCCGCTCTGCCAACGCAATCAACTAACAAACCCTTGAGTAAAAACACGAGCATAGTTGCAAAAAGCAGACACAGAGGTGGAAAACTGTGTAAAAATCAGAAAAGACGATCCTACCAAAAAAAGGTTAATAACAATCCGATTCTTTTCTCTTACTATAGTTAATCTGCCATGGCTTAATAGATTAACTGTAGTAATGTGAAAGAATCAGGTGGTTCTTTATATTATATGCATGACAAGACTGCTAAACTCTGAAACTAATCGAAAGAGAACACACGTTGTCAAGTCATTTCCAAAGATATACAGCTCTGCGTTCATGCATATTATTCATAACGGCATGCTATAAAAAGATAATTTCCAAAAAAAATTAAAATAGCATGCATCTTGATCTGCTCTATATCTCACTGGATACGATTAAACTTTAACAGAAACTATGCTACCATTTGTATAGCCCGTGGCTGGGGTCCTGCGGCTGACCTGTCAAAGATGCATGTTCTACAATGAATAATATTTGAATGTGACTGCTTTAAAATGCCAATGTTGTGTAGCTTGAAGAACGGGATTCGTCTTGGAAATGTTTTGCCATCGTGGTTCCAGACAAAATCGCTGATTGCAAAGAGGTTGGCAGAAGATGAGCGAAAGATGACGTAGATATCCTGCTGCGATGACGTAATCAATGTGGGCGTTTTCAAGGGAGACTACTGATATCCCTCTTTGGTGGAAGACCGACTGGTTTTTCATCGGCTTTAGCTTTGCCTTCAAACATCAGGATACTAGATGGGGAAATAAATAAAAACAGTGTTTAGAAAATATAACAGTCAATGTTATTCAGCGGTTCTAACACAATGGTAGATGTATGATATTTTACTCAAAGCGTTGAGTGGGGAACATATTTTGGAGGCTTACAATCTTGATGAAGCCCACGAACACCGTATCTGAGAGAGTGAGTGAGTATGGTTTTACGCCGCTTTTAGCAATATTCCAGCAATATCACGGCGGGGGACACCTGAAATGGGCTTCACACATTGTACCCATGTCGGGAATCGAACCCGGGTCTTCGGCGTGACGAGCGAACGCTTTAACCACTAGGCTACCCGACCACCCCGTATCTGAGAGACCGAGGAGGACCACAATCAGGGCGAATCTGGGATTCGAACCCACGATCAGCGGATCCTGCCATGACTAAGTGACACAACTCCAACTTTGAGAAAAGCGTCTTGAAACAGTTACCGAAACAAGATAAGTAAACTACGCTTATAACGAACAGGTTTAAAAGGAACTGACGGATATAACGAACTATTTTTTTTGCCCCCTGTCCTTTTCCTGAAAATCAGTGGTCCCTTTGAGTTCGTTATAACCGTAGTTTACTGTACTACCTCGTACAAAACAACCAGAACCCCCCCCCCCCCCCCCCCCCCCACCTCTAACCTGGGGCAGGGAGGGACCCTCCTATCCACCTCCCCTCTACCAAGATCTGGACGGTCCCTAATGACTATACAACTCACAGTTTGAGCACGGAAGACTTTGGCCCCAGCATCATCTTGACGAAGTCGACGTAGTTGATGGCGCCGGTGTTGGTAGTGTCGACCTCCTGGATCATCTTTTTCAGCTCCAGGTGCGTCTTTGCCTGCCCCAGCTTCTCCAACATGTACTTCACGTCCATCATGTCTGTAAGAATATCATCATAATATTGATAATAAAACCATACAGATAACAAAACAAAACGCAGGGTAGTGTTCAATAAGTATTAACAGCTTTATCTACGCCAGAAGAGTGAGTGAGTGAGTATGGTCTTACGCAGCTTTGAGCAATATTCTAGCAATATCGCGGCGTGGGACACCAGAAATAGGCTTCAGACATTGTACCCATGTCGGGAATCGAACCCGGGTCTTCAGCGTGACGAGCGAACGCTTTAACCACGAGGCCGCCCGACTGTCCCGGTCACCATGGAATGGAGATGGTATGATAGAACCAGATGGTACTGTTGGCGAGACTAGGAAATGACAGTTCTTGTCCTCAAACCACAGAAATGAACAATTTCAAATGAAATGTATTACTCACCGAGGTCTCCTGACCTGTCCCGGTCACATTCAATAAACTTGACTGAAACAGAAGAAAATGACTCGTCAAATTTCTGACAAAGACAGGGGTTCAGGTTTAACGCACACAATATTTCAAATACAGTGACACCTCGTTAATCCGGACGACGTCGTTTCAAGTGAAAACGCCTAGATTATTGAACCTTTTGCCGGTTTAACTTAGCAAAGTTATACGTATCAATACCGCTTTAAATATAAAAACCTTTACAATGGTAATCGTTCGGAGGGTGGCGTTTCCGGATTAACAGGGTGTCAGTGTACACATATGAGTTAAGCAGTTACAAATTATGCTGGTTTGAAATAATAGCATGACTAACGTGTTGATAATGTTTGACGACAGAAGTCATCAAAAAATGGTACCCCAACAACATGGCAACTGAGACGAGCAAAACATCAACGATAATTCCATAAAGACGTATTTGTGTTTTGTTTTTTTAATCTTGCATGTGGTCTATCCAGAAAGACACAATTTCAATTATAAAATATATAACTGGATATAATTTTCGCGATAATGTTGATGATACTATTTCATTGAATATTCTTAGGCAGGCGGTATGTCAACAGCTGTGACGAACAGCTTTTCAGTTACTTAAGTTGTCTCGCGATCTGTGGTAGTATAGAGGATAGAGCCTCTGTCCGGAGATCGGTAAGTCCGGGGTTCGATCCCCGGCTGCGTCACATCAAAAGACGTATTTGTTGTAATCCTGCCTGTGCTCGACATTAAGGGGATAAAACGAGGACTGGTCGGATCGGAGTCAGTATAATGTATTTGAGTGGGATATGCGTGTTATATCAGGGAACTGGTACCATAACATTGGCATTAGTCCGAACTAGTACAAACAGACACCCATCACCACCCCCACACACAGCGCACATACACGCGCGCGTACATGCACGTTTCTCCATAAGTACAATGATCTTGAATGCGACATTACACCCCGTTTCACCTCACCTCATCTCTCCCATCTTAGACAGGTTTTTATTCAGTCTAAATATAGGTATTATGAATGTACTTCTCGTCACGATATGGCTGAAATACTGCCGATGTGACGTTAAATATTAACTCACTCACTCACTCACCTCATCTCTTGATTTCTGCCTAACACATGGCTGTACTAGGTTCGATTCCACATACCGGTAAACCTTTTGAAACCCAAACATGGTCTCGTTCTGAGAAATCTGATTATGTCCCCCGCCATTGCTGGAATATTGCTAAAATCGGCGTAAAATCAAACTCACTCACTCACTCACTCTGAGACATTTGAAGCATATATATTAACACCACTCTCTCAATAATTGCCTTTAAGTTAATACAGATATAAATGAGTCATGTCGTTCCGCTCGGTCAACAGCTGTGATCACGATATCCTGGTAAAAACAGGAAGCTGTGTGACAGACGCTGCAATACCACGCGTATCAAGGCACGATATGCGTTGTGTTGTCAGCACACAATCAGAGTTGATCTGTTCCGGACGTCCGACATGACGCGTCAAACGAAAAACACCGCTGTGACAATGTGACACTCACGCTTATAGGCTTCGAGTTTCTCCGGCAGTTCTTCCACATCCTTGAAAAAGTCATCATCGATGAAGCCCTGAATAATAATAATAATAATAATAATAATGATAATAATAATAATAATAATACCTATAATGATGATGATGATGATAATGATAATAATATTGATAATGATGATGATGATGATGATGATGATGATGATGATGATGATGATGATGATAGCGCTGACAACAAAAAGGCATGCTCATGGCGCGACCAATCCTGTAGATAAATATATGAAATAGGTTTGCATTTAAATATTATGGAAGCTTGTTATGTAATTAAATCAGAAACTGCACTTTACGCTTTGTGTGTGTGACAAAGTTCGTTTCCCCTATCAATGAGACATTAAATTGACAGTTGAGCGCCATAAAATCCCAACCAGCAAGGTTTACGTTAACAGCGGAAGGGACATAACTCTTGATGGTATAGTTAGTTATTGGAACCGCTCGTATGAACACAGTTCATACGATTTGTATTTCTGATTAAACTTATTGTGCAGTGGAACGGTCTGTGACTTAACGTCCTCAATACCACCTACACATCGTGAGTGAGTGAGTTGGGTTTAACGCCGCTTTTAACAGTATTCCAGTTATATCGCGGCGTGTCAGCTCAATGTGAGAGGAAACAATGCGGGTATCAGACGTTTACCACTTCGATGAAATCCACGAGCACGGATATGGTGCTGACAAACCTAGAAACATAATAGGGGCGAATCGGGATTCGAACCCACAACCATAGGTGTCTGGCGTGCCCAAGGGACGCTACTCTGCACAGCGAATCGCGGCGCCTCAGACGACTGGGCCACCCGTGCCCCCTCATACACATCTGGAGACCATAATGTCATTTATACTTATATCTTCCCCTTTCAATAGTACAGTACAATATTGTTTATTTCCTTCATTACCTTGTTTGTCTCATCTAGTCTGGTTTCCATCTCCTCCATTAGTTTCCCATACGCTTTCCCACCTGCAAGAGGGAAATAACGTTTGAACAAAAACCGTATAAAACCGCCGTCTCAATGTAATAAATACAATTTGTTTTTGATATCCCTTTCACGTCGTGTATTCCTTGTGTGTAAGAGTAAGTGAGCGAGTATGGTTTTTACAACCCTTTTAGCAATATTCCAGCAATATCACGGCGGGGGACAGCAGAAATGGGCTTCACACATTGTACCCATGTCGAAAATCGAACCCGGGTCTTCGGCGTGACGAGCGAACGCTTTAACCACTAGGCTACCCGACCGCCCCTTGTAGAAGGAGCAGGAAGGAGTTTCTGTTTGTTTGTGGCGTACTCATCAACTTTCCGGCTGTGTGACGGCCTGTAAATAATCGAGTCTGGACCAGATAAACATGTGATTTATTTTAAGAGATGTCTTCGAACTTTATTGAAACACTCAACCGCCGTCCATCATTTTATCCATCAACCCGACCATCCATTCGATCGTTTATGGAAAAAGAAAGATAGCATTCATCACCACTCGCCCCTTTCCGTAACCTGCAAGAAGACTCGTCCCCCTATCGATGAATGTTATATGCGAAAATGCGACAAACCAATCACAATGCGCTTATGATTTCAAGTTCTTCGTCAAAGAATCCCTCAGAAATATTTTTTGATTTTATATACATGTATGGCTTGCATCTAAAAATATACCCAAGGCACATTTAAATGTGTTCAATCATACTGTATAATTCCGCATGTCCCGATGTACTTTAAATTGCATCTGAAATATATATTATATACGGGGAAAGATATGTGAACCATTACGCAACGAGTTGACAATTGTTTTAGGTATGCCCGTTTGCACTAAGACCCGGTCGCAAAAATGGCCATGTGAGGGGCACGAGTCTGTTCGGCTTGTCCCGGAATAACACGAGTTGGTCACGAATGGAAAGATAGTTTTAAAGCATTGCATTCCTCATCACTCGATCTACAGTTTCAGATCCATCACGATAATTGTGTCAACACGGTCAACTTCAACACGTTTACGAAGAAATCGTCAATCGTATGATTGTTACACAGATTTTATCATTCACAATCATTCACAACCGGAAGATCAGCACCATTCTGCCAAATAGGCATAACGATTTCGTCGAAATAATAGAATTTAATCATTTGTCGGGAAAACGGGTTAGTGTTCAGCATGGATGCTCAGTACACTCCCTCCACATACCGTAGTGTAACCACTAAGGTATAGTGAGTTTTGTCATTAAACAATATATCACGTGACTAACCATGGGTCCAGGTAGTCCTGTGGATACCCGGGTCCTACAAAGGACCCACCCGACCCGAGTACCCGAGTTACCCGTCACGACCCTACGGATGAAATGCTTCCCCATTATTGTGAATAAATGCAAATAATGTCTGGCATGAACTCAAACAATCACACACAAAAATTGCAACAAATGTCAATTTGAAACACTTTTGTCAAAGAGATAAAAAAGAGAGAGATTGTCTTAAAACAATCGGAACACATCAGTGACGAGACGAAAATATTACTCAGACTTTTGATATTATTTTATGTTTGTTTGTTTGTTGTTTAACGCCGCACTCAGCAATATTCCAGCTATATGACAGCAGTCTCCAAATAATCCAGTCTGGACCAGACAATCCAGTGATACATCATGAGCATCGATCCACACAATTAATGGGGATACGATGACATGCATCAACCAGGTAAGCGAGCCTGACCACCCGATCCCGTTCGTCGCCTCGTACGACAAGCATAGTTGCCTTTTTACGGCAAGCATGGGTTGCTGAAGATTTTTTCTACCCCGGATCTCCAGTGGACACACTTACTCCTGGGAGCAGTGAGTCCGCCAACAGCTAAGATTTCTTTAAATGTACCGTCATGGTCCCTGCAAACACATCCATCAGTCACGAAATGCAACAGATTTCAGCGAGCCTGGGCCCGGGATCATGAAAGTGGTCTTAGCTCAAATTTTGCTAAGCACGAATTTTGTCTTAAGTTTTTAAGATTTTGCTTAGCTAAGATTCGCTCTAAGACTGGAATGGTAGGACGACGAAATCTATATCTCCCAAAGAGCTCTTCGTCGTTGTACAGATCAAGAGGGTTGAATCGGTCTCGAAATGTCCGATGATTTGCTATTTTGTCCTTTTTAGCCCCTAGGCAACGCATGAGGCGAACAACCTCCGCCATCTTTCTTGCTACAAATTTTGTCTTAAGTCTACTCAGGGGCAGTCTTAGGACTTAAGATACAATTTTGTCTTAGACTTAAGATATTCTCAGTGATTGAGCTTCGTGATCCCCGATTTAAGACAAAATTTGATCTTAAGTCTAAATCTTAAGAGTTAAGACAAAATATGATCTTAAGTTAGTTTCATGATCCCGGGCCCTGACCACCCGATACCGTCAGTCGCCTCTAACGACAAGCGTGGGTTGCTGAAGACCTATTCTACCCCGAAAAACATATATCTTTGAAACAGGGATCGCGGAAATCTAAGCTCAAATTATTCTGTTTCTGTATCACAGCATATTTCACTACTCAGCTTCGTCTTATTGACAGTATCTCACATTCACCACACATAAATAGCATTTTTATTACAGAACGTACACGCTCAAACAGCGCTATTCCATAAGGATAGCGGGTAAGTGATAAAACGAAGAAAAATTAGCGGGTGTCAGTTACATTTCACGTAATGAATATCGGGAAGTTATAAAATAGATTCACAAAAATAAAGCGACAAAACCTCTCCATATCCTATAGAAGTCTATGCGTAAAGCAGAGTTGATTGTACAATTCCGAATATATCATGAACATGTGTTTATGAATCACTCTTGTTTTGTTTTGTTTGTTGTTTTACGCCGCACTCAGCAATATTCCAGCTATATGACGGCGGTCGGTAAATAATCGAGTCTGGACCTGATAATCCAGTGATGCATCATGAGCATCGATCCACGCAATTGGGATACGATGACATGCATCAACCAAGTCAGCGAGCCTGACCGCCCGATCCCGTTAGTCGGCTCTTACGACAAGCATAGTTGCAAGAAGACATATCCTTATGGGTAAAAATAGAGTCCATTTAATTGTTATTCGTTTCCGGGAATTAGCTCCGAATGTAGAGTGTGCTGCATTAACATTAGAATCGGCTTACTGAAGTGATGTCGTGATATATAATTACCTTCATAAGTGGATAAGGAAGAGAATTTATGGATGTCAACTTCTTTATCATGAGTGAGTGAGTGAGTGAGCATGGTTTTACGCCGCTTTTAGCAATATTCCAGCAACATCACGGCGGGGGACACCCCGGGTCTTCGGCGTGACGAGCGAACGTTTTAACCGCTAGGCTACCCGACCGCCCCTGTTTATTATGAGGAATACAACGTTTCGGAGCATATACTTTCTCCTTCATCAGGTCTGATTACTGTCTTATTACTTTGTTGTCCTTACATGTACATATATATGTTCTCTACCTCATAGCATTTATTCACCCGAGGAAGGAGTAAGTATATACTCCGAAACGTTGTGTTCCTAATGATTAAGAAGCTGACATCCATAAATTCTCTTCCTAATCGCATCACTTCTAAATGCCTTTTAAAGACTCTATAAGTGGAGTTTAACTTCAGAAGTGGAAATGCTGAAGCTGTAATGTTAACAGTGAATGGATAAGCCAGGTTGACATCGCTCTGTTAAAGCCATAGCGACGTGGGAGTCAACAGTGGATGTTTCCGGGACTGTGTGTGTGAGGCCGGCAGGGGGCGAGAAGCATGCACCCGGTGGCTGGAGGTACAGAGGCGGGATCAGCTGATTACTCACCCATGCAGTCACGTGTGCGCCGTGACGAGATACTAGCTGGGAGGAAGAGGAAGTTTGTAAATACAGAAGTTCATGATTGCAGGGGAAGCAGAGGAAGGGGGTCACCTGGGGGTCATGTGGTGGTGGGGGGTTACTGTAGAGGATGGTTTAGAATTAGAAGTGAGTTTGGAAATTGGAGGGGGGCGGGGGGGGGGGGGGGGGGGATAAGAGTGAGAGAGAGAGAGAGAGAGAGAGAGAGAGAGAGAGAGAGTTGGTTGTTTGGTTGTTTAACGCCGCACTCACCAATAAATCCAGTCTGGACCAGACAATCCAGTGATACATCATGAGCATCGATCCTCAGAGTGAAAGAGGACTTAATTTTGACAGGACTGTTATTTATTATTATTGTATTACTTTTGTATTTTTCTTCTGTTAATCGTAAGCCTAATGTTTTAAGGATTTCATAAAATGGGTCACATATCGTTGTTCAAATCTAGTGTACATGAGTCTCAAATATACCTAAATTTTGAATTTGTTTTCATTTTCACATATACAAATACTAGAAGCATCACGTCAACTGTACCTCATCACATCTCTTGTGCAACAGTATCAGATATCACCTTTGTTTTCCTGTTCAAATCGCTATTGCTATAACGCCATAACCTGATATTGAGGTCAGCGTGACCTGCGAGAGAGCTGTACCATGCATTGTGGCTGTATAACAAGACGGATGTGATAAACCGATACCGTCAACAAACAGATATTATGTAACAGCGTAGATAGTGGAGTACACATCAATTGACGTACAGGCAGCGAGTTTGTTTACAAGTCTGCCATCCCAAATTTTATTATGCACGTCCCGCAGTTGTTTACCCCCAGTGCACACATACAATATCACAGACGAGTGTATTACACGAGAGCAGTTATGATGTTATGACAATGAGGGGGCACGGGTGGCCCAGTCGTCTAAGGCGCCGCGATTCGCTGTGCAGAGTTGCGTCCCTTGGGCACGCCAGAAACCTATGATTGTTGGTTCGAGTCCCGCCTTCGCCCCAATTATGTTTCTAGGTTTGTCAGCACCCGTGCTCGTGGGTTTCACCCAAGTGGTAAACGTCTGAGACCTGCATCACTTCGGGCTTTCCTCCCACATTAAGCTGACACGCCGCGATATAACTGTAATACTGTTAAAAGCGGCGTTAAACCCAACTC